TAATTCAGCCCTTTATGTAAATGAGTAAGAGCAGTAGGTCAGCCAGACTCCTCAGTTCATCAAGAAAATTACACTCGGGCGAAGAAGGAAAAAGGTAGACATCCTAGGATCAGCTACTACACTAACCTCTACTTTTGAGGATTATACTTTTGAGTGGAATAAATCTCAAATGAAAGATCAAAGAAACATGTTTTTAGCTAAATTTTAAAATCTACTTTCTGGTGGTTATTCCAGAAATAAGTAAATTCTGTAAAATCATTGCATAAGAATTGAGATTGTTCATATTGTGACCCCATGCACATATAGTCAGTTGTCAAAAACTCAATGATCTTTGCTAATTTTTTCAAGCTCTGAAACTGTATACATTTGGTCAGTGAGTGGCATCAGCTATGTAACATATATGAGCGTGTACCTTCTGCCACACCCCCAGGAAATTATAAAGATGAGCAAGACAAGCCTCTTGTTCCTCATCCTAGGAGTTCACATTTTGGGAAGAAAGACAAATGTGTAAATAAATGGGACTGAACAAGGAAACTGTATTTTACAGACGGGATCTCCTGAGCTGGGTGTTTGATGTGACTAGATCACAGTGGGGAATGACAGAGAAAAGACTGAGAAGGTGGAATGGGGTTGCTTGTGCTTTGCTAAGGATTGGACTTGACTTACAGGCAATGGGAGCCCAGAGACATATTACATAGAGTAATCAAATAGATACACTTAAAACTATTTGCACTTGATGGGGTGGGGGAAAGATCAGAAGCAGGAAGATCAATGCAGAGGGTGTAAAAATGGTAAAGATGAGAGATTTGAAGGTCTGAACCAAGCTAGGTGGTAACAGGAATGGAGAAGAGGGGTGGATTCCAGAAGCACTGGTGAGAATGTAGAATAGCGTGATTAGGTGGCCAGGCATTGGAGTCAGAAGATGTGGGTACAAATGCCAGCCCTGTCACTTAGCCGTTGTGTGGCCTGGGCAAGTTTCTTAGCCTCTCTGAGCCTCAGTTTGCTGGTTTGTAAAATCAGGAGGATGTCTCTCCATGGTACTATAAATGCAGGTGACGAGGCACATCGTGTGCACTCATTAAACACCAGCTGTTATTACCACTGCTCCTGTCTTCTTACACCCCGGTGTCCTACTTGCAGCTGGGTTATTGTCCCCAAATCACTCTTTCACAGCAGCTGACACTTCATGGCAGGTGAAGGGGAACCCTTGATTTCCAGAGGGGTAGTTCTCACCGCCTACCCTGTGGCTACCAACTGTATGCATAGCACGGGCTGGTCCTTAAAGGGAACAGGCCCAAACCCATGCCACGATCAACAGTTGGCGACACTTGTCTGGCTGCCAGTGAGCCGGGAGTCTGTCTTCTCACGTGAGAGATGGTGTCTCCTCCACTTCCATTTGCAGATTGCCAATCTTCACTAGTTGATCCTGTTCCTTTGGGGGGAATTTATTTATTATTCATTGGTGATGTACAATGCTCTGTGTCCTTTGGTGGGACGGACCATGCACAGCTGGGAGGGGTTCAGCAGACTGCCTCCCTGCCAGTGAGTTACAGCTGTCCGACCTCAGCAGGCCAGCAACAGAATCGCCGCCAGCCACCCAGCACGTGTCCGCACAGCTCCGCTCTGCCATGACTTTCTTTCTGAAATGGACTTCACAGCCTCCCATCTAGTGTGCCTCGCTTTTCCCTTTTTCCTACTGAGGATATTGGGTCCACAAAGCCAAGTCGTGTGAGCTTGAGAATTCCAAGGGCTTGGGCCTGGGCTCAAGTTCACCAGGCGAGTGTTCCGTGCCCTCTGGCTCACCTTTGTTTGGATAAATAATTGAGAGTGTGCCATTTACAAGGCTCAGGGACCCACACAGGAATCTGGCTGCCAGCTCCTTAATTGAAAGCAGCAGATAACCGACAACACAGCCTGCTCCTCCCTCGGGACATGAACATGGGGAAATTTATTTTCTTTGGAATTCGTGTTCTTGGGTTGCCCAAATCAGAGGATGACATACATGCAACTGTTGCCTTACCAAAAAAAAAAAAGAAGCAAAACATGCCCCTTCTCCCTCTGGGCGATTGTTTTGATTTTCAGGTGAGGAGAATGCTGTCACTCAGTAGACATTTGGTCTTGCTGCCTGTGGGCAAGACTGGGGCTCAGTGCCAAGGGCAGCCACTGAGCCAAGCCGGGGCCCCACCCTGCAGACTGCCCAGCTGGGTGGGAGAGAGCACATGGGGAACTTTCAAAGCATGGTAGCCCTGGTTCTCAGTCCTGGCCAGCTTCTTAAAATACTGAGTCTCTGCTTCCAGCCCCAGGGATTCTGATTTAATTGTCAATATTTCAAGGTTGGGGCTGGGCATAAATTTTTTCACTTTTTATTTTTAAACAGTTCTCTAGTAGATTTCTAGCATGCAGCCAGGATTAAGAGCCACTGTTTGGGGGGTTTGGGTTTTTTCTAGATATTCTGAGACAGACACAGGCAGCGAGAATGTGCATGTTCAGAGCAAGTAGGAAGGCTTCCTGGGGGGTGGGAATTCCAAGAAGGCCACTGGGACCAGGAGGTAGTCGTGCCGAACCTCTGAATGGGAAGTTAGGCATGTTTGGGACCAAGCAGAGGAGATTATTCACCCTTTAACTCAACAAGTCAAGATTTGAGGGGTTTTCTCCACACCTCCGCAGGTTTTCTAGCAATTCTGACAGTCTCTCACTTCCAACTGGCACTCCATCCGAATGCCAGCTGCCCATAATCCTCACTTGTGTCTTGGGAAGGATAAACTGGCTTTACTCACCTGTGTCATGTGTCTGGAGCTCGCCACCTAGAGGCAGGGGATGGAAGGACGGGTGCTGTCCCCAGGGAGGACAGAGCTGCCCGGCCCCGTCCCATCAGATTGAGGCTCCAGCTGAGCAGCCCTGGCACTCCTGGCCTCATGCAGGCTCTGCTGATGAAGGTGTGAGGATTTCCACACCTGCATTTTTTTTTTTTTGCATTCAGATCTTAATCAGCGACTGTTCGGAGGCAGACACTGTGCCTCCCAGTTTGGGGAGTGAGACCCTGGCTCTCTCCTTTCTTCACAGTGGGGCCTTGGGCAAGACTCTTCAGCTGTCTGGCTCTCAGTTTTTTCACCTGTGAAATGGGGATAACCACAGACAGTTCTTGCTGTTCCTTGTAATAAGTTGCTGAAACCATAAAAGGCAGCAGTGTCTGACCTTGTGACACCTGCGAGACCCTGTGGGAGAAGCCCCAGCTGCAGAAGGGACACAGTCTTCAGAGAAAGGGTAGGCAGGTCCTAGCTGTGTGGTCTCCCCTTGGCTTGTGGCTTCTGCCAGAGGGCATGACGATACCAGGCTGTGCCCAGAGAGCGAGCAATGAACCTTCCCACTGTTCCGTTTCTACCACCACTGCCTTGGATGTAAGGCCTGCTCCCCAGCTTTTATCAGATGGCAGGTCCAGGCAGAGCCCCTCGTTAGGAAGGTGGGATGGATGTGGACATGGAAGGGGATCACTGGCAGTGCGCTGGGTGAAGCCGGCCCCTGCAGGGAGGCTCCTCCTGGACGGATGCTCGGGAGACCACAGCCGACTAGAGTTTGGTCTCTGTCAGCAGAGAAAAACCAACAAGCCAAAGGGAAGTCACATAGCCAGGACCTGCTAGACCTTCTGAAGGTCCCCACTGAAGTCAGAGCAGCCCTCTCTGTGACAATGGACATACAGAAAGGGCAGGGAAAGGTGTTGTGTTATCATCTCCCGGCATGAGTCACAGGTGAGAAAGTGGCACTGTAGGGGGTCTCCCAGGACCTGTGGGGAAGCCTGGTACTTGAGGTGCAGCCGGTCACATCGAGCTCATCAACGCAACCGTGGAGGAGGGCCATGCTCAGGCTGCTGCAGATGAGCGGCCCGCAGCTGGGGGTAGTCTTGTTCCACTCTGGGAGCTGGCTCAGGGAAGGCCCTGCTGGGACCAAGCCTACTTTTAGAACTGAGACATCTAGAAGTGGCTCCTAATTTCATAGCCTATGCCCTTCAATATCCTTCTTTGTACTGTCCAAAGCCTCCAGAACACCAGTCCCTGGAAAGATACTGGCCTAACGGAGTCTGCTAGAGCAACTGTGGTTCCTTGGGAAGGGCCTGTCTCAGCTACACCTGTGTTCCCACCACCATCGCCCTGTCTTGCCTCCACACATCCACACAGTTCAGCCCCTGAAGGAGCTCTGCACGAAAACCCGGCTGTTGGGGTCCTTTATGAGACTTCCCAAAGCAACCCCCACTGCGTCTCACCTTAGAAGCATCACCCCCTGCCACAGGATCTGTGTTCTATCCTTCATTACAGTGCCAGGAATTCCACCAGAGTCGCTCCTCTGAGCCAAACGCCATCCTTGGTGCAGTCGGTGCTCAAAATACCGTTCTTTTCTTGGAGTGCCCAGTTCTCTTTGGGGACCTGTGTTTGTCCCCAGAACTGATGAGAGAAATTCTCCATCACTAGACTTTCAAGCAGTACTTTGGGATGTATGCATCAACCACACTAAAGCTACTGTGGCAGGTTTTCAAGGTTAGGTATCACACTCAATCACATGGCCCTATTTGCTCTTTATCATAAATGCCATACTCGGAATAGGGAAGAAAAACTGCTGTCTCCCACTTCTGAGAGCCACGTGGCCTTAGGTTACATCAGGAGATCAGATGAGACAGCATTGCCAGGCTCTGGAGGAGGGGCGTCGGTTAACAATCTGACGGCAAGGAGTGGTCAAATGCACGGGACAGTGCATCTATCTATTGGTCCGACTGCCTCTCTCCAACAGAACCCACAGTCGGATTTCTTCTGGCTGGAAGTGAGGAACCAGACTCTAGGGAAAGCCAAGCCGATGACAGAGAGCAACAAGGCCTTGTGGTAAATTACGTGTGCACATTGCCACTAGACCTGCCATGCAAGCTCAGATTTACAAAACACACTCTTTTCTTTTTATTAGATTTAGGGGGGTGACACTAATAACATGATATAAGTTTCAAATGTACAGTTCTGTGATACATCATCTGTGTATTGCACTGTGTGCCCACTACCCAAAGTCTAGTCTTTTCCCATCGCCGTGCATGGGCCCGCTTCACCCTGTTGATCCCTTCCCAGCCCTCTGTGAGTTTGTTCACTTGTTGCTTTCTGTGTTATATCCCACATTTGAGTGAAATCTTATGGCTCTTGTACTTTTCTGTCTGGCTTGTTTCATTTAGCATGATACTCTCCAGATCCATCTGTGTCATCACAAATGGCGGGATTTCATCCTTCCTTATGGCTGAGCAGTAGTATATACGTACCACGTTTTCCTACCCAATCCTTCATCAGAGGACACGTTAGGTTGTCTTCATGTCTTGGCTGCTGTGAATAATGCTGCAATGAACATAAGGGTGCATAAATCTTTGTGAATAAATATTTTCAATTTTTTTGGTAGATACCTAGAGGAGAGATTGCTGGGTCATATAGTAACTCCACTCTTTTTTTTAAATTATTTATTTATTTTTAGAGAGAGAGAGAGAGGGAGAGAAACATTGACATGTGAGAGAAACTTCAGTTCTCTCATACTTGCAACCCAGACATCGAACTGTACCGACTGGGATTCGAACCGGCAACCTTTTGGTTCACAGGCTGACAGTCCACTGAGCCACACCAACAAGGGTGGTAACTCTATTCTTAATTTTCTGAGGAGCCTCCATGCTATTCTCTGTGGTGGCTGTACCAGTGCACATTCCCACCAGCAGTGGGTAAGGGTTTCTCTCTCCACAGCCTGTCCGACACTCATTTCTTGTCTTGTTGCTAACAGCCATTCTAACAGGTGTGAGGTGGTGTCTCCTTGTGGTTTAGATTTGCATTTCCCTCATAGGTAGAAAAACAAATGTTCTCACTTCTCAGCCTGCCTTGCTCTGCCAACAGTTAGTTTCTTGTTTGAAACTCAACCTACAATGCTTCCTCAAGGTTACCAGTGGATAATTCACCAATGCCAAGAACACCTGGAAGTTCAACTGCTATTGACAGAATCTAATTCTCAGTGTGACGAGGCCTGCGTCCACAGGTCAATAAAAACATTTCTGTTTGACCCACCCGTGAATGAATGACTTCCATTCATGAGACAGAGATGCGTGTTTTTGATACAGCACTCAACCATCATGGAAACCCTGCCTGTGAATAACCCCCCAAATCAAAAGCCTTTTGTTTCCAAAAAGTATAGCTTTTATATGTCACCAGGATAACTGAGAAAGAACATGATCTCAGTCACAAAGAACAGAAATGCCACTTGAATCTCAAGTGTAAAGGGAGCCGTGCTTAGGACACTGGGGCGTAGAATGGAGGAGCTGTCGGAAAACAGTGAGGCCCTGGGCATACTTCTCCCTCACCTTCCTCCCAAAGTCTGGGCGTTGTTATGCTCACCTTCACCTGTCGCTTGTCAGATGGTCTCCAAAACACCTCCCCGCAAGTTACCCCTGGCTCACCCTTGAGCTGCTTAAGGCCTCAGACATCCTAAATGATATATCCAAACCAAATGTAATTAATACCTCCTAGTCATCCCCAAATTTGTGCCATAAAAGTCTTTTGTATTTAGCTCTTTTCCAGTTTAACCTGCTTTCATTAACGGTGACCTCATCGTCCAGGCAGCCACGCTAAAGGAAATCTCTGGCCCTGGATTTCTCTGTTTCTTCTTAACTCGATACATCCAGTGTGTTAGGAAATCCTAATAGATCTGTGTCCATCATCTCTTTAAAATCTGGCCTCATTTTTTCTGTTCCCACTGCCCTGCTTTAGACCTGCTTAATGTCTTGCCTGAAATATTTCTCTGTCTACAGTCTTGTCTTTTCTCCCTCCCCTCCTGGCCTATCTGTGACTCTCTGACCTACAGGTTAAATGAGGTTTGGGCCTGCCCTGACTAGTTCAGCTCAGTTGGATGGGCATCCATCTGCAAAGCTAAAGGTCATCAGTTTGATTCCCAGTCAGGGCACAAGCCTGGGTTGCAGGCCAGATCCCCAGTTGGGGGGCGCACATGAGAGGCAACCAGTTGATGTTTCTCGCATCAGTGATTCCCTCCCACTCTTTTTCCTCTCTCTAAAAATAAATAAGGAAAATCTTAAATAAGGTTCAGGCTTAGGCACATCCTAAATGTTATCTCTGAACCTAGGACAAGAAAATTTTCCCCTGAGAGAAGCTAAGGTAGCAAGAAATTGTATAGGGAGCCAAGCTGGAGAGGCAAGACTGGTAGATAGTGAGGTAGGTACCCCTTTATATGGGGCCAGAATAATTCCTCGGGCAGGACCAAGCCAGCAGGCCCTGAAATTGAGTTCATCCTCCTCTCTGTGTTCTGAAAGAACACTTTATACTTGTGTTAGAATGTTTTTAATGCCCTCCTGTGTTATTCGTAGCTGTGCATATATATATTTCTCCCACACTGTCTTCAGGGACTAAATGCAAATCTTAACCATCTCCACTTTTCCTCTAACACCCAGTTCAGGGAAGACACGGCCTCTGCAGTCCTGCAGCCTGGGACTCATTTGTCCAGCTCAGCCACTAATCTGAACAAGTTACTGAAGCGTTCTGTGCTCCAGTTTTCCCATATGTAAAAAAGGATAGTTAGGAGAATTAGATTAAACAATCTATAGAACGTGCTTGGCTTGGCATATAAGTAAGTTCTCAGTTAAGTGTGTGTTGAGTTCAGTTAGACTTAATGGCTTCTAGTTCTTAACTAATCTGAATTGAAATTGTTACTTGATTATTGTCTAAAACCAGCAGAAGATTCCACTTTTACCTGTAAATAATTTGCAGGTAGAAATCCCACTTTCTGTGCTGTATAAATTTCTCCCTCCAGTGGCGTAGACCTGAGTCAGTGTTGGTTGGGCTTCATTGTCCATAAGGGTTGTGTGCATGTGAGGAGTGGGCCGTCTCACATCAGCACTAATTAACCTAAGAGAAAATCTCAGATCGGGTCTTCTCTGAATTTCCAAGTCATTAGTTCTTAACTAATCTGAACTGAAATTGTTACTTGGTTATTGTCTAATAATAGTTCCAGACAGTTTCAGAGCTGACCCCTGGGCAAAACTCTGAAAATCTCAGATTAGACTCCCTCTGTCTTTCCAAGTCATTGGAAGTCAAACTCCCTACTTTAAGAATGCGTCATTTAATTCCCAATGAGCATTTAATTCCGTGACTGACCCGTGGTAAAACTCTGAATTAGCACGTGTGTTTGCGTGTTCCCAGACCGAGTTCTCTCTGGAAATGCCTCATTAGCATGGGGAGGTGTAGGAGGGGGAGTTGAGCACCCACAAAAGTCTGCCCACTGTGCAGAGAGAACTCCCCGTCAAAGCAGAGAGCTCTTTAGCTTTGGATGAGTTACAAAGAAGGTTCCAGGCATTACTGTTGCAGGGTCAGTATTTCATAAGGCTCAAGGGCTCCATGCACATTTGTTTCCGGAGCAAAATGAAAGGCCATGTTTTCTCTGGGCCCCTTTTGGCTTTACTAGCCTTGCATTTCAGTTATTGTAGCTTTGGGGGTGTGTTAGGCTCCTGGAGCTGAAACCAAAAATAATAGTTTGAACAAGATGGACGTTTGTTTCTCTTACACAAAACTGTCAGGAGTCCTTAGCTCACGTAGTAAGCTAAGGACAGTATTGTGAACTCATCTCCTTGTATATCCATCTGCTCATTGCAAAGGTGTTGATCTCATTCACGTTCCCACCCATGGGAAGGTGTGATGTGGAGGGCATGTGCCCCATCCACCTAGGGCTGGCACCTGAAAGTTGCACATGTCGTGGTCAGATCACACTGGTCAGGCTTACCCACAGGGTCATGCCTAGTGGGCCAAGCAGCTGGGAAATGTTCCCTTTATTCTGGGTTGTTATGTACTCAGATGTAATTTGGGGGGTTGCTACTGCACAGAGCAGAAAGTAGATTTAGGAAAACAGCTAGTTATCTCTGCCACAGCACTGACCTTCTGAAAGGGCAGCTATTGAGGGTAACGTGGGGCCTCTGCTAGAAAAAAATTAGAGGACAATTGTTATAAAACAGAATGGTGGATTACTTGTCTTTAGGCTCTGAGTCCATCAAGGATGGTATTCTATTCCACCTTGGCAATGGGAAATTAAATTTTTCTGTTAGTTTTAAAGTAGAACCTTTTCTCATTACAAAAGTAATATCTAATAATTATAGAAAACTTAGAAAATATAGGTGAACAAAATTAAGTCAGTGAAGATACTCAGCCATTTTCAGTTTAGGAGGCATGAGCAGAGAGGTGGGAGCTGCAATCCTGTGGCTGGAGCCCCCCTTTGAAGAAGAGAGAGGAGTGAGGTAACAATGGCTGAGCCATAGACAAAGCCCCACGTGGGAGGTGATGGCAGAGGAGCAGTCAGGAAACTTCCCAAAGTGCCTGGGCAACCACTGTGGATGCCCCGTATTGCTTGTTTTATCACAAATAACTCAGGGCTTGAGGATACCATTGTCAGGATGAATGTCACTGCAGCCTGTTACTAATAGCCATTTAGGTGTTCCTAGAATGCTTTCAAAGTGAAGGTTAGAATAAAAGTTGGTCAGTGATGAAGGATTTGGGTCCCACAGTGTCACCACGCTGTCCATGCACAGTGACCCAAAGAGGAAGACACGGTTCACAGCTTCTGAACTCACAGTAACAGTGCTTCTGAAAGTAGCAACCAGGGGAATACAGGGAGGAGAGACTCATTGGTTTAAATGTGCCTCACCAATGGGGAAACTTGTTGCACTAAAACCCTCCCTAAGATAAAACTCTATCAAAGCAGTTATGGAAGGTGGGAAAAGTAAGAAGGAACCTCCTGCCCAATGGTACCCTAAATCCCTGAGACCGTTTCTTGATAAGTGCCCTATGTGGGTTCCAGGTGACTTGGTCAAAGCAGTTTGGTTGAAACCTAGTTGGTCAAGTTGGTCCAGAACGTAAGTCCTTGGTTTCTGGGCTGGAGAAGGAACGCTGTGGGCAGTCACACACAACCACGGGCTCATGAGCAACTCCCAACCAACGTTCAAAACCAGAGTTACCAACACCATTGCCAAGACTGGTGTTAGAAGTATACCAGAGCACCCCAAAATCCCTGAAGTTTATTATTTCCTCTATGTTCTCCCACTACAAAATCAACACCTACTCATTCCAGAAAACCCACCTTCTCCACAGAAGTCAACCTAATGACTACCCAATTCAATCTTTGTTTTTTAATGTAAAAATATCCCATAGATACAATCTCAAAATTTTACAAAGATAATACCAAACTGCCTTTTCCAACTTGTTATAATTTTTTTTCTTAAGTTTCAGTAATGGTCAACTTTTCATCTGAAATTGGGAAAAGGCAGCCAGCAAGCACGATAACTGGGGCTGACAAGGCAGAAGACTCACTCGGGGGCACCAACAAAAAGGAAAAAGTGTGAGAAGAGGGCTGGAGCGTCTACCTCTGGCATAGCTGAGAAGAGGAAGTTAGTCAACCCCAGGTTCTGGTCTCCTTCTGGACTCCGGTGGCCCTCTGTGGAGGTCTTCGACCTGCTGAGTCCGAGGAACACTGTGGCAGGAAGATAGGGAGGCACTGGCAGAAACACCACGCCAAGGTGACCACATGTTCTCAGCCTGCAGCCTGGGCTATGGTCTGAATAACCCATGTGCTCCTGGGCCAGCTTTGAGCAAACAGAGATCCAAACATGTGGTTTCATCACTGAGAAAGGCTACGGTGCTGATCAGAGAGAGGGAAGTGGAATGCTTTAGGGTTTCACTTCTCCTTCAAGACAATCTAACACAATCATCTTTGAGCAGGTGTTAGTGTGGAAACAAATATGGCCAAGATGATGCCCAAGTATCGCTCTGCAGTCCACACTGGCTGCTTCTCCCTTGAAGCCAATCATCGGGAAGTCAGACTATGGCGGGGCCACTGACTGCCTCATGCTCCCTCACCTGCAACGTTCCCTCTTCTGTGACATTTCAGGGTCCTTGACAGTGGGGGCCAGAGTGGGGACACAGCAGGGAAAGCAGCACACTTCTTATATTTTCTGTTGGGATTCGTGTACAACCGCACTGATGTACTAAGGTCCGTGCACCCTGACTTACTGAACCCTCACACCAAGCTGCTGAGGTGGGTACCAATACTCTCCCCTTTTGCACACAAGGAAATCAGGGCAAAGGGACTCAATGAAGTCACTTGTCTAAGGTTCCACAGCTGGAAAGCAGCAGAGCCTGGATCCACCCAGGAAGTACATCCCCATGGCCAAGGGCCCTAACCACCAGCTTCTCTGCCTTTGGGGTAGATGCAATAAAGGTGTTTGTTGACCAAATAAATTATTATCATCACAGCCTTGTTGGGCTAAATACTTTCTGGTTCCCTTAACTCCATTTTAGAATAAACACACAAACATTTTTTCCCTGTAATTCATCCAGCTAAAACCCAAACAATACCACAGCCAGGTCATTAATGGTTAGAGGAGTGACTTCAACGATGTTCCTTCCTCATCTGACCTTTTTGTGTTTGTGTAGTAAAATACACACAGCGTAAATTTACTGGTTTAACCATTTTTAGGTATTTGGTTCAGTGACATTATGGTAAGTTCTTGTACATTGTGCAATTATCAGCACCATTCATCTCCAGACCTTTTTCCTCTCTCAGATTAACACTCCACACCCTCTGCACTAACTTCTCAGCCCCCAGCCTCTGCAACAGCCATTTTTTCTATTTCTATAAATTTGACTATTCTAGGTACCTCATGTAAGTGGAATAATCTAATATTTGTCCTCTTGTATTATTTCATTCAGAGTAATATTTTTAATATTTATCCCTATCATAGCCTGTGTCAGGATTTCTTCCCTTTAAAAGCTGCAGAATAGTCTACTGTATGTAGAGAGCACATTGTGTTTATCCAGTCATCTCATGATGGCCATTTGGGTTGTCCCCACCTTTTAGCTTTTGCGAAAGATGCTATGAACAAGCATTGGTTTAAGTCTGCTTTCAGTTCTTTTGGATATACACCCGGGAGTGGAACTGCTGGATCACGTGGTAACCCTGCTTAATTCTTTTAGTAACCACCATGCTCTTTCGCTCCTTCCATCATTTGATCTTCACCATCAGTAACTGTGCACATTAAAAGCGTGTTATACCTAATTCACTCCTTCTGACCCTCTTAATAATGTCATGGATTTGGCAGTAACAAGTTTAAACATAGATGGATACATGGGTAGGTTTGTTGAGGTTTCTTTTGGTTCTTAGTTTACTGATTGCTGTAGTCAACGTGAAAATGTTCCATTTGCTGGAATTGAGGAGTGCACATTCTGGCTTAAAGGCTGGAACCAAGCCGGCCTAGATGGGAGGTGAGTCATTTCATCGGTTCTGTTCTCAGGGCATCTAGCATAAGAGGAATTCTAGTAATTCGCACGCAGTTCTGCAAAGCTCAATAAAAGTTCTGGAAAACAAGAAGGGTACGGGGAAGAGAGGAAAGCTTCCACACACTAAGGAGTTTACAAAGAAACTCAGGGTCACTTTTAGAGCCCTGAGCCCTTAATCATAGCCCCAAGGGATTCATGTTCTGTGTTCTTCCAGGGGAGAGTTTTCTACCGGCCTGACTCATTGGCGACGTGAGGAAACCACCGACAGTTTGCCTTTCAAAGGCATCATCAGGAAGGCTTTATTGTTTTAGAATGAAATAATACATCGGAGGATTCTTCACAGTCGTGTAGACTCTGCGTGTCTGGGTTTCACTCAGTTCTCTGGCTTAGTGTCCCAGTCCTGGGCCTCTTGGGTACAGTTTGGAAGAAAAAAACCGTTCCACATCTTGCAGGAGTGGTCAAGTGGTGTCGGGCTGACTGCTCGGGCTGGGGAGGGCCGGGAGTCCAGGCTCACCAGGCTTCCAGCTCATCCTGCTCTGGCCTGGCCTCCACCTTCTTTAGTATCTGCAGGCTCCAGTTTCCATGCCTTGCTTTTGGGGATGCTCTCCTCTAGAGGAACTGAGGTATGATGTGACTCCACCTACAAAACCCTTCCCATCCTTCCCCCCACTGGCCACGTTCCAAATCAGGGAGGTCTCCTGATCCTGTGGAATAGGGGCTTTCACTTCTATTTCATGGTCTCATTATGTGAGGTTAACCTATAGAAGAAAAAGACAAAAATATTTCTTTTCCATCATCTTGAAATCAGAGGTTTCCCTCCCTTCCCCCAGAAGAAGAGATGGTGTCTGCCATTGACTAGAAGTGGAAGAAAGGGAAGAGCCTTTTCTAAGATGAGGAATCTTGGAAGAGTGACTTTTATTGTTTTCTTACTATGTTCATAAAGGTGCAGCTAGAACGCTGCTCTGACTCTCGACTGGGCCCTGTGCTAGGGACCTTTGTTTTCTGTAATCAGTATGATAATTCTTTAAAGCAAATATTATTCATATTTTATCCATGAAGAATCTAAAGCTCAGGAAGTTTCAGAAATGAACCCAAGCACCCTGACCAGTGCGGCTCAGTTGGTCGGGCATCATCTCGCAACTCCAAAGGTCTCTGGTTCAATTCCCAGTCGGGGCACATGCAGGAGATGGCCAGTTGATGTTTCTCTCACACATCAATGTTCTCTTCCTCTTTCTCCCTCCCCTCCCCTCTCTCTAAAAATAAATACATAATTTTAAAAAGTGAACCCAAGGCCACATCCTGAGCTCTTCAAATAACAGAGACAGAGTTGCCCACCAGCTTTGCTTACCCTAAAGCCTCCCACACGTAGCTTGGCGCCAAGAACTCTAAAAAATGCAGTTTGTTCTCTCATTTTGTTTAAAAAAAAATCTGATATATTTGATGCATGCGAGGCAGTTATGGAAAGGAAATCCCAAGTAAATCTTAGGAAAATTTACTGTTGCCTTGGAGCAAGTGTTGAAACATATCTTGCCTACTAACTCACTTGACCTTTCGAGTCCCTTTTAGTCCTCTGGTTCTGCAGGCGGGTTTTTTTTTTTCTTTCAATTCTTTCTTAGAACCTAATAACAGATAGCAGACAGTCAGATGACGGTATCTGTTATCTTCATTGTCTTGGTTTAGTTTCCCCTTCCAAAGACTCTCACACACTGGTTGATGGGCTCCATTTCGGGCCGCACTATTTTTTTTTATTTATGGTTTTCTGCATGTGTTACTGCTCAGAGGCACCCTGGGGAGACCTCCACAGGCTCTCCTGTTACCAGATGTCGCCCTTTCTGTGTAACAACCATCTACTCACCACTTCCTCTTGCCAAGAAATGAGAAAAGCATTTGCCTTTGGAAACGGGCGCTGAGACACGTGAAGCGTATTAAGAAGGCGGCCTCCCCGGAATCCACATGAACTTTCACAGTCTCAGTTTGTTTTGCTTAAAGATAAAGCACACACAGCCTCGTTTGTAGTTAGGGCTAACAAGGACTTGTGTAATGGGGCGGAGATTCCACTTGGGCTGTTCTGACTGCATCATACATAAATTGTGTCCTAAGTAATCTTTGAACCAGTACATGTGTAGCCTGGGTTTGTTTTTCATACTTTGGAATACCTCGTTGCTGGTTTTAAATGGAAATCAATGATGGATGGGTGTTTAACATGCAAAATAATGCTGTATCCCCAGGAAGTCTCCTGGGGGAGACAGGAGGGTGCAGAGGAGTCTCAAACCTTCTTCTCTGGAGCAGGGACATGGTGTTAGTCATGCAATTAAAAGAAAGCAGCCAAGGGGAAGTGAATTGCTAGCTCGGCAGGTATTTAAATGACATGTGCCTATCCTGAAGCCCAGATCTGCTCCTGACAGAGCTGTGCCTTTTGATGACATGTCTCATTTATTTTCATAAAAAGGCAAAGGACAGATTACTTTTGGCTTCACTCTGTGGACAATCCCAAACCCTTGAAATGCTCAGAAAGGGTCAGAATGCCCAAGTTTGATAGCCTAGATAGAGGAAGGGAGATTGTGAGGATTGCATCCACTTGCATGAACTTTAAAACACCAACGAACATCTCTGAAGTTACACCTTGGATGCGCCATTTAAGGAGAAAGAGCCAAGTAGAACCATATGTTTAAATGTGGTGTTATCTTTAAGACATATCAAAAACACATGCTTCTCCCCTCCATCCAACTTTCTCATGAATCACTTGAGTTTCAGACTGTCAAGTGCACTGTTTTTCCTTATGTAGATTCTGTCCGACAGCTTCACATAGTACAGTGAGTAAAAACCGTAAAATTTTAATGGACACTTTATTCAGCCAGTTTTCTTTTTTGGTTGTTAGGAAGTTGGGCCTTCTTAAACCACAGAAAACTAGGCAGAATTTAAGTTTTGTGGAATAGAAAGGTGGATCCTCTACTTCTGTTAGAAATAATAATTATAATAAATGTATACCCCATGGGCTTCTTTGGCCATGTAAAGTTATAATTCAGCTAGAGATGCTGGGAAATTATGCCTAATGGGGAAACTCTGAGCACTGTCACGCATCATGCATGTCAGTCCATTTTCTTTATATGTGAGTAAATATATATAAATGTACATTAAAATATATGCATTAAATACACACACACACACACACACACCCATCTGACATAAAATATGCTGAAGACAGACTCAGAATAGTCCATATTGAGCAGACAGGTACAGGTAGACAAATGTGTTTTTGCAGGGCAGGGGGGATCCTGAGTTATCTCACTCAAGTCTGTTTCCAGAGCCTCCCAAATGCCACCAGTTTTTATTGTGGAAGCCCTTTTGTTATGCTTTTGAAGAAGCTCATCTATCACAGCTGGGCTGCATAGGCGATGCTTTCAGGACGGAAGGAGGCGGGGCTTCCGCAGGAGGCGGGCCTGCTGCACCCAATGGGGCCTCAGAACCTTCTCCTGCCAGATGGGTTGTTTACAGGTTGTATACATTGTTCACAAACTTGATGTAAGACGTTTAAGTGATGGATTGAATAAAATTTCCATAAATTCTAAAAGTTTTAGGAAGAGATTGCTGAAGTGTTTCTGTCACCTGGCATGTGGTAATCCACCTTGCAGGCCAGTCCACAAGAACTGATTCGACCTATAATATAGTTGGATCATACTAATATTGTGTAAGTAGAAAATAATGCTCTTAAATTTTTTTAACTAAAAAATTGAGTGGTGGGAAAAAGGCATCTAAGCGTGTCAAATTATCCTTCAACAGAAGCCTTGTCTAACCTGGCTGAAGGTTCTGATCACTGGCAAAGATGGATACTTGCCTTAGTTCTCATCTTTGATTATTTTAATAACAACGACTACTACAATAATTACACTGTGTTGATCCCTTGTTAAAAATTTCAACTCCCCTTCTAACTCTGCCTGCTCTTACTTACCCTCCAGAACTCTCGGCAGTTTGACTCTGCTTTGTCCAGAGCTGATAGTGGCTGGTCGGTAGTGGGGCTGGTCTGTTAGGAGCCCACAGCCCACTGCCATGCTGGAATCTCTCCAGGGGAGACCGACATTTGGAACTGATGGCACCATTTCCCTAACTCAGGCAGAGATGGGAGACTCGCGTATTTCCATTTGGAGTCGCCTGATGGCTGAGTTTTAGCTGTACATGATTCAGGCCCCTTTGAGTGCCATGCATGGTACAGGCATAAAAAAGCACTCCAGTGGAGGTTAGAGTGTTTGGGTGCCTGCCCCAGTGTTACATTGGAATTAGCCATCCTTATGTTATAATTATCCAGTGATTATTATACTTAGATGATTATTACTATAATTAGCTAATTGTGTTAATCCTTGGTACAGAGGTCAGCCTCAAAGTTTCTTTTCATACTTATATCCTGCAGACCTGTAATTATCTAATATAAGTATCTTAAAATCTCTGAGTTAATTCCTTTCACAGGCTTCAAAGGATTAATTTCATGTATTATGTGGTGAGAAGGACATTCTGCTATTAGAAGATGTGGTCATATGATATTGATGATATTTTAATCTCAGATTTCCTTTAAAATAACTCACCCTGACTTAGTGCCTCAGCTTTTCCTGGGCACAAGTTATTTCATTCAAAACCAATAAAAGAAAAGAAATGTACTTTTTATCTAACATATCTAGCAAAGCATTTAAAATGCTTTTTTGTTTGTCTCTTAGGAAAAAGTGCTGCAAAGGGTATAAGTTTGTTCTTGGACAATGCATCCCAGAAGGTATGTAACAAAAGATTACGTCTTCTCACCTTATTCGTGACTGTTCATCAGATGTCTATAAAGTTCAGGGGTGCCTGGAATGTATGTATGTTATTTGTGTCTGATTACCTGTGCATATGTGCATGTAATTTCTAGTTTGGGGCATTAAATTCTTCTCATTTCAATTTGGTTACATGGAGCATGCTCTATTTAAATCATTCCACAACATGTATGCATACGTTGAGTAATTAATTCTCTAATCAGCTTATCACACACAGGCAGAATACAACCGCCCTCCCCTCCCCATCTCCCTGCTTGTCCTGTGTTAAAACTGAAGCCCCTTCACATGACCATCAACAAGCCCTGTGTGTAGCCCAGCCCTGAAGTGATAGAGACCCAGCCCTCAAGGCACCCACCCCCATGCCCAGTAGGCAGGACAGAATAGTGCAGAATCAGAGAGACCCAGATGTCCATCACGGTTCCACGCTACCTTCCTTCGTCCACTCCAACTGCTGTAACAAAAATTCCACAGACCAGGTGGCTTAGATAACAAACACTTATTTCTCACAGTTCTAAAGGCTGGGAAGTCCAAGATCCAGGTGCTGAAGGATTCAGTATTTAGCAAGAGCTTCCTGTTCTTTCTGGGTCCCCACATGGACAAAGGAGCTCTCTGGGCTCTCTGTTGTTCGGCCATTAATCCCATTCAAGAGGCTGCCACCCTCACGACTGAATCACCTCCCAGAGCCAAGCCCCCACCACCACCAATACCATCACATTGGAGTTAGGATTTCAATACATGGGTTTCAGCAAGATGCAAACATTCAGTCCATAACACACACATCCTACTGGCTATGACCTTGGGCATGTTCCTTTCTAAACCTCAGTTTTTGCGGGAAAGTATTAGTACTTAACTCACATGGTTGTTTTAAGAATACTACCACATACAAAGTACTTGGAAGAGAGGCCACTTCTTATTAAGTCTTGATAAGTGGTGGTTGCTCATACTGTTGCTGTTGTTGTTATTCATAATAGAAATATGTGCAATAGAGGCCTCCAGAGCAGCAAGCATGCAGAGGGGCCCATGGCACAAAGGACCAGGGTGGTCAGAGGTGGTCTGTAGAAGGAGCACAGACTTGTGCTAGGTTGTTAAGGGAGGCTGCCCTGGCCCCAGACAAGCAGGAGGATGAAGGCTGCCGGGGTTCCCTGCACTGACACAGGAAACACCAGGGACCATTTGAAGAGCATGAGGTTAGTTTGCCCGGAGCCGAGGACAGATGGGCAGGGGACGTGAAATGCTGTTCTTCCCTGTTGCCCGTGAAGCCGGGTCTCTACAGAGGACTTGAGCCCAGCCAAGCTAACTCATGTGGCGTTAGCCCATGGAGAGCAGCTTTTTTTTATCAGTGAGAAGTAAATGAATCCCTCCTGTTGATTGCTCCTTTCAGTGGAAGGATGGCCGAGTTTATGGATCCATAGCAGTGACCGCTTAGGAAGGTTGGTTAGGAAATCTCAGCATTCGTTTGGTGTATATGGACTTGGGCCTCTGTAAGACTGAATTTCCCACTGCCAGCCAGTTCCACTGGGTAGGGCTTGGTGAGGAAAACCACAAGAGTCAAAACAACTGCATTCCATCACTGAGCCAGCTTGTCTCAGTCACCAGCTGTGTCTTTTACATTTCCATGCGGCAGCTACTGAGAGAGAATTAAGTTTAGGCCAATCAAATTAAGATCCCAGCTAAAGACCTTGTCCAACTAATTAAAAACACCTGACATGGATACCGCCTACTTAGGGTTCCTAAGCATTCGGTATTGTGGCTTCAAACATCTCTAGTGGGACCACAGCACCTGTGCTTACAGCTCTGATGTCCACCTAGAACTGGGTACTTCCAGGCAAAGCAGTCTCAGGAGCCGAAAGCTGCTCTGCCATTGTAACTAACTCTTTGCTCTGTTGCTATTGCTGGGACGCCTTCAAAAGTCGATTTGTTTTAATCTGTGGGAATGAGTCAGTATGGTTGGTCTTTTACAAAGAAATCTTTAGTGTTAAAGGTCTCTATTGCCTCCAAATGCAAAGTATTAATGTAGAATCTCAGAAAAGATAGTGTTTTAGTAAAGATTCTTGGAAAAGAGATTAATTTTTAAGGAATGAGTTGACAAGATTATCTTGTCTGGCAATGCTAAAATCTGCAGAGTGGGGGTAGCAACATGGAGACCCAGGAGAGAGTTGGAGTTTGAATCTGAACACCATCCTCTGACACAATTCCCTCTGTAGCAGGGCAGGTGCATCTTCTTTTCTAGTAAGGCCTTTAACTGATTGGATGAGGCCCACCATCCTTGTGGAGGGCAATCTGCTTCATCCTAAGTCTGCAGATTTAAATGTTAATCTTATCTAAAGATGTATCTCCACCAGAACATCTAGAATAACATTTAACCAAGTACCTGGGTATCTGGGTATTATGGCCTAGCCAAGTTGACACATAAAATTAACCATTATAGATAGTAAAAAGAGACCAGAATTTCTTTTAAAAATAATAGTAATGTGCTAAGTAAATAATAGAAGCTATAGTTAAAAGTGTTACTGCCTCATATTTATTGCTCTAAGAGTCAGCAACCTATGCTTGTGATATGCCAGATCTGGCCCACTGCCTGTTTTTATACATAAAGATTTATTAGCACACGGTCATACCCATTAATGTAACCATTGTCTATGGCTGTGTTTGCCCTGTAACAACAGAGTTGAGAAGTTGCAACAAAGGCCTGCAAAGCCAAAACTATTATCTGGCCAACCAGCTATATTTTGCCCCCCCATCCCTGCTGTGTTACCTTAACCATCCAGGTAGTGGGGTGATCGGATTGGTTCTAGTTCAACAATTACCAGTCGAGCAAAAACTATGGGAAGAGAATAGTACTGTTGCTCCAGGCGACACAGTCCCTGAAAGAAACCTGAACAAGTGTAAGAGCCAGGAATTGAAGAAGTGGAAGAGCAGATAAAGCTCTCACTGTGTGCCAGGCACTGTGCTTGATGTGTCATCTTATGTAATCTCCTGAAAGCACCGTGAAGTCAGCATTATATTTACCTTATTTTACAGGTAAGGACAGTTGGGGCTTAAAGGACCCAAGATCACAGAGGTTGTGGCAGAGTTAGGAGGGCTGGCTCCCAACCCTTCGCCTTAGCGTGGATCCTCCTGGAGTATCCACAGGCCTGGACACAACAGGCCTGGTGTAGAGTGGGCATTCAGTAACCACGGGGGGGCCTGTGGGCATGGGGCGTGTCAAGCACAGAACATTGATGCTTAGAGGTGAGGCTTTGCTCCAAAAACATGTTGGGCCAGGGACACACACTGACAAAGCAGGCCTGGACTCTCCACCACAGGGCCAAGTATTTATCCAGGTCATCCTGAGAATGGCATGAGCCTTGTCACACTGCCCCCCGACACAGAGCAGGGCTGCCAGCCCCCCACTGCACCTTCACGTGCGGCAGAGCGACCGCTCCCAGGAGAGCTCCTCTGTCAGCACCAGGGAAGATAGTGCAGTGATTAATGAGATGCTGGGTCTAGTCGGGAAGTCAATATTCAGCCTGAGCGCCTGACTTAGAGCCAAGTCCCTTCAGAGGCTTGTTAAGTATCAGTTCGTAAGGATGGGGAGGAGGACACACTCTAGGTCTTTACAGGTAATAGACCACCCACCCCAGTGTGCATGGGCGTAGGGCTGGAATGCAATCTCTAACCATTTGACCTTATCCAGCCCCTTCTCAGCAGGCACAATCAGCCCCCTGGCGTACCCCCCTATAACACACACACACACACACACACACACACACACTCAACTCACACACGCCTCAATTCCAAAGCCTCCCTCACACTCCTCAAAGCTGGCCTGATTACCAGCCCTGCTCTCCATGTTATGACGATGACACCCATCACCAGGGCTGGCCAAAGAAACTTCCTTTTTTGACAGCAGTTAGTTTAAAAAAAGAAAGAAAGTATAGGCCCAGGCTACGCTGCAGAGAAGAGCCTGGCCCTCCAGGCACCTTTGCTATTGGGCTGAGCAATGAAGACCAAAGGATGAGCAGCAGGTGACCCTGGATGGGAATCCCAAGCGCTGTTTGCTTCTCAGCACTGCAAAGCTGGCCACCACTTTTCCCAGAGGCGAGCCCATGCCCTGAAGAGGTACTCCCCTGCAGACACGGAGGTCATACTTCCCAGTTCCCCTGGAGAGTGCCACCCAGAAAGCCTGTTCTAGACCTCAGCCAGGTGACGCCCCTCCACCTCGGGAAGGGCTGCGGTTGGTGCGAGCTCACACCTTCCCTTCTCAGATTATGACGTGTGTTCCGAGGCGCCCTGTGAGCAGCAGTGCACAGATAACTTCGGCCGCGTGCTGTGCACGTGTTACCCGGGATACCGGTATGACCGCGACAGATACCGGAAGCGGGAGAAGCCCTACTGCCTCGGTGAGTTGGCCAAATGCACGTGATCCCCAGCTCCTGACATTGTGCCTCGTTCAGGGGGGCCTGCGCTGTGCAGGACACTCTGCATCAGCCGGGGTGGCTCTCGGCCGCCACTCGGGTCTTCCGTCCCTGCCCTTCCGTCCTGACCCTTGCCGCATGCCGTGTGCTGGCATCATCCTGGAGGGTCCCTCCATTACCAAAACAAACGCTGGCTGAGCAAATCTTCAGGGAGCTGGTTCCAAGCAGGGCCTCCTACCGAGTGAGGTGTAGGAGCAGGGCATGGGGCTATTATCAGAAGTGAACTAGGGTCTACGGCCATACCACCCTGAACGCGCCAGATTTCGTCTGATCTCAGAAAAGTGAACTAGGAAACTGTAAAACAGAACATAAGTGGGCAGAAACGTAAAAACCAAAATGAGAGGGAGCATCTTCTCAGATGAGGACTAGGAGGACAGGCTGGGACAGAGGAGTGTCCGGGTGGCAGACAGGTTGGGCGTGAGTCAGGGGGAGCTGAAGCTGGCCACCCGACTGCAGCTCGGGAAAATCAGCACCATCCCCGGTGTGTCCCCTGCCCCCTCCCTGTGCTCTCGGAGGTCCTGAGACAGGTTTATTGTCCCGTGGAGCCACAGGTTTCCAAGTGTGGTCCGTCACAGCTAACCTGTCTCAGAAACATCTGGGATTCTGTCTTTAAAAGAAAAAAAAAAAACTCCTGGCTTCACCTCCCGTCTCTGGTGGGGGCTTCAGAGACCTGCGTTTATACAAATGCCTTTAGAGCAGGGGTGTCAGACTCATTTTTACTGGGGGCCATATCAGCCTTGTGATTGCCTTCAAAGGACTGGATATAATTTCAACTCTATTACAATTAAGGAGTAGTTACATTTATACAGTCCTAAAATTATCTCAGCCCTTTGAAGGCAACCAAGAGGCTGATGTGGCCCCCAGTGAAAATGAGTTTGACACCCTTGCTCTAGGGACTCATGGGTACAGTCAAGGTTGAGGATCAGCTCAAGGTGAGCCGAGGAGGCTGGTGCACACACCCAAGTGGAAAACAAAGCAGCTGTGATGAGCAGGGGCTCAGAAAAGCACCATTTAAAAGAAGTTCCAGAAATGAGGTCTTCTGACCTCTCCCCAGGGGAAGATGCCCCATACTGACAAGGAGTGGGTCTGAGACCACCATGTTAACAGACTGGGGGTCCACAGCCTCGCCTACAGACAGCATGGTACTCCACTCTGCACCCCCGAGGTCCCAGGACAAGGGCTCTGTGCTGTGATACTCTGTCCTTTTCATTTGGGCATCGGCAAAACCAGCTTTCTGCTAAGGTCTCCTTCCTTTTCTATCTCCCCTGTCAACCTCCATCCTCCCTCCTCCGGACAGAGGCAGGTCCACGCTCAGGTGTAGGCCAAGGGCACATGGGGAGGCGGTCAGCCTGAGGAACGGCATGGGAGGCTCCAGCTGTGACATCTTTGTCTAAGGTGACATAGTATGTACCACCAGGGGGAAGCCCCAAGCGACCATGCTCCCCTGGGCACATCCAGGGCCTGCCACAGGCGGGCCCTGGGAGTAGTTGTCGGCACCTGGAAGTGAGGGCTGGGCACTCTCGGCCGCCACCTGTACACGGTCTGGGGCTGTGTCGTGTCCTCATCTAGGGAACAGGAACAGACTTGGGCTCCCTCCTCTCTTCCCGGTGGGAAACAGTTTTGTTTCCACCCCACTCAGTGGGGGGCACATCTGTGATGTGACCAGCTCACAGGGAGCCTCGCCGGTCACTTGTTTGATGGCCTCATGGCTCATTTCCACAGCTCACGAGGGGTCTGTTAGGGTCATTACAGAGGCTGAAATTTTGTGGGAAAATCTCTCTCCGTGAGACCCATTATGACTATTTTCTTTTAACCAAAGCGGCTTTTCCCAGGTCCCAACACATCTCTTCACTAGGAAGGAGCCCTTCCTAAGTGACCTTGGGTCACCACGTGCTATTTGGAGCGTTAAACCCTTGACACACTGGGGCCCTTGCAGAAAATCCTTTCTATAATGCTCCAAAGGGTGTCACCGAAGGGTATTTTTTTTCTCTCCCAAGAAGCCCTACGGGGAGAACTTTGAAGGCTACCAATGCCCAGGCAGTAGCCACCTGACTTGGACCCCCCTCGCCGATCTGTCTGTAACCACGGTGACCCTGCCTGAAGTCCTGTCTAGTCTTGCGTTTTCCCAGGCTTCTCTGGGAGAGGTGCGGCAAAGCCTGCTTGGCAGACGTTAACAGAGGGGCCACACCTCCTGTTGCCTGTGGTCTTGGAAGTGAACTCTTGGAAACTGAGTGTTGTCTGCATTTGGTTCACACCAGATATCGACGAGTGTGCCACCAGCAACGAGACACTGTGCGCACACATCTGTGTCAACACCCTGGGCAGCTACCGCTGTGAATGCCGGGAGGGCTACATCCAGGAGGACGACGGGAGGACCTGCGTCAAGGGAGACAAATACCCCAATGATACTGGTGGGTGGGGCAAGTAAAATTATTCCTTTAATTGGGTGGGTGGGTGGGTGGCTAGATGGGTGAGTGGATGGATGAGTGGGTCGGTGGGTGGATAGATAAGCACTAGGAAGGGGCATTTATATGAACAGTAGGTGGGGCCTGGGTAAGAGGAGGGAAGGTCAGAAGGTCAAGTCTCTGCCGAAGAGACCTGGTGAGGGCCATTCCTGTTGGCAGCAAGGGTTGCGCGCTTGTGAGTACTTGAGAAAGCCCTCCACCAAGAAGAGGCAGAGTGCTCGTGGGTAAATCAGTAGAACCAAGCCACGTGCTTTGACCAAACTAGGATGAGCAAAGAAGAGGCCAGAAACACTGTTCCCTCAGAGAACGTGGGCCCAATATGAATATGAAGCATTTCCATGTAAGGAAATTATCTACATCAGCACCGCTCACAGCCTCGTCCGTGGCCCTGTGTCTGCTGATGAACTGTTTGTGGTTTGGTTCACGACGGATAAAAACCGAAGTAGAGAAGAATGTTTAGAAATTTTTATTCCAATTTGACAGAGAAATTGTGTCTAAATCCAAAGATTCCTGCTGGTGTTTAATGCCTTATTTTTCTAGTAATTTGTTTTCATTGTATTTTGCAAACACAGTCACAATGAAGTGGAAAATTTTCTGAGGCTGGCCGGCCTTCACAGCGTTTGAGAGGCTGATTTACATTAGGTCGACCAGATTGCACGGAGCTGTCTGGTGGATGGATCGCTCGGGGATATGATCAGACCGCATATCGGGTTACTTATTTAAGTTTCAGAGGAAGAGGACGGGGCAGGGGAAGGGAGAACCCTCCTGCTCCTCTGTACCCAATGCTTACAAGGCCAAGCAGCTGTCATCTTCCAGAGCTCAGGGCCCAGGTCTCCTCTGTCACCCTTGGGAGGGGACAGTATCAGGGATCCTGTCAGTTGGGGGGCTCCATGGGCCTGGGCCATCTGTGGGTGGAGCCGGGAGCAAAGCTCAGGTACCAAGGAATTCAGGGAGAGGCCAGAACTGGGCACACAGGAGCTAGTTAGTGATTTGGGGGTGGAAGTGTAGCCCGAGATTCAGAAAGGGGCAGCAAACAGCTGGGGACCAGCTGCCTCACACCGGGAAAACTGCAAAGCAAAACGATGAGGAACAAATGGGTTGAGTTGTGAGGAAGCCACCCCGTACTGGAAGTAGAGGCCAAATACCTGTTCGGAACCAGCTCAGAATTGGGTGGTTTAGGACAGTGTGAATGAATCAGACGGCCCTGTGAAAACTATGGAAAGCCTGAAGCATGTGGGGCCCATGTGCCCCAAAGTACTTAAAATAGGGGTCAGTGGACAAAAGAAATGTTAGCAGGTTTTTCATGGTGCAGGAGGTGGGGGAGGGGCAGGATGTATGACTTAACTCTTAGACTATGTCCAACATGGAAATGAAGAATCTCATTGAAAAATGAGGTGCAGCCTTTTAGCCACTGAGAGACATATTAATGTGTGGGGCAACCAAAGAACTAGCAACCAGAGGCCTGGCCAGGCGGCTCAGCCTGTTGCTGCAGCATCCTATACACCAAAAGGTTGTGGGTTCAGTCCCCGGTCAGGGCACATACAAGAGGCAACCAACCAATGTTCCTCTCTTACTTGGATGTTTCTCTCTCTCCCCTTCCTCTCTTTTTAAAAACAATAAACATATCTTTGGGTGAGGATTAAAAAAAAAAAGAATTAGCAATAAGAGAGCAGCATTCTCATTTTTCACTTTGGAATTGGCTTTCCAGCGACGCTCTGAGCCAGGAAGCCTGTGGGCTGTCGGCCAGTGCACCCAGCACCTCTCTGGGTGTCTCTCTGCCTCAAATTTGCGTCCAGGTGAAATCCCATCTTCATGGGCCAGAAGGGCAGTGCTGAGCAACCCAGTCTAGCGTATGGCCATCAGATACAGTGACACCTCCTTACTGCTGAGTGTCAGTGAGGCAGGGGACAGTAGGGATCCCCAAATGAAAAGACCTCGTCCTGCCCCCGGGCAGTTCCCACCTGGTGCCCACAGACCCATCTCAACTAGCAGACACCATCTGCAGGGACTAGGTAGGGCTTTATCGGTGGAATTTACTGGTTCTTTGGTCTCCCGTGGCCTCCTCCCCTTACGATAATTCTTGGGTTCTACAACCACGTGCCTCTTTGGTCCCATCCATGGCCCAGCTGTGTGGTTCCCAGGGGATGACCCTGAGCAGTGACAAGGCAGCCTTGGTAGCGCTCACCGCCTGCCTCGTGCTGGGGCAGCGTGGGCCCACGGAAGGGCCCAGCCACTGGGCAGCAGCCCAGGAAGACCTCACTGCATCTCCAACATCAGCAGCCCGGGGTCCTCAGTCTGCCCTGAGACCAGACTCCTGTCTCCTTTCCTGAGACATGCATTGTACTTCGAAAACATTTCTCACTCACACAAAGTGCTTCTGTACAAGAGTTCGAGAGTTGCGTTGAAGAGGTGGCCAGTTTCAGTTCCATAGCTGAGAATTTGGTTAAAAAAAAAAAAGCACCTAAGCAGACATTATTATAAGGGATATATATTCGCAACTCTTCTTGTACCTTCTCCAGTGTTACTCTCATTCAAAGGCATGCTTTATCTCAACCACTTACGACAGCATTTCTCCACTTTGGGTTCAATGGAACCGCGGGGTCCTGGGTGTGGCTAAGCCTTTCTTCCATAGAAGCTTCTTCCTATAGAAGCATTTCCCCAAATATTCAGATATTTGGGGAGGAAGGTGTTACTGCGCCCACTTTTAAGGATTTATGATGTGAGTGCATTAAAGTCTGAGAGATGGCCATTTCTCAAAGAAAAAAATGTTAATTTTGATTAAATCTGCATTTCCCAAAATTGGTTCCTTAAGAAACACCTATAAACATCTCCCAGAGGAAAGTGTCCTAAAAATTAGAGTTTGGAAATGCTAAGTTATTAGCATCAAAACTCTGAGCTCTGGGGCTGAACATGGTAGGTCATCCGGTCGACCTTCGGGGAAGGATGTTTTCAGACACAGCCGCAAGGTCCAGTGGGAAGCCCTGCGCTGCAGACAGCCGAGCATCTGACGAACAAAACAGGACGAAACCCCTCCATGCTGCCATTCCAGAGACCAGATGTTCCTGTTTGCAGGGACCAGAAGGGGGCTGTCCTTCTGTGTAATCAGGAAGAACTGCCTGGTGGCTCTACTGCTGAACTCCACTGTAACAAAGTCATTGCACAGATTCGCCTTGGCCACCAATTCTCGCCCCCGCCCACCTGCCTCTAAATATAACAGCCTCAAATAATTTTCTAAAACACCACTGTCTGTTGTACCATCCTCCCCCACCACCAGCAGCAGCATTATAAGAGAACTCAGTATTTCATGTTTAGTAACTGGTCCCAGCGGATTTCACCACATACCCACAGAGGATTTAGCATTTGGTTTTAGTGTTGTGCTAAGGACAACATTCCAACACCAGTTACCAAGGAAATCAGGGAGTTATAGACTGAGAGGAATAAGTCATACACAAAATTATGACAAAGGGCAGGCACACTGTATGCCCTGAGTGTTAAAGTCATAACTCAAGTGATGGGCCACTGAGAAGGTGAGGCGCTGGCTTTGATGGCTTTGGCCACAAAAAAAAAAAATACAGTGCCCCAGATGTGTTTCTCTGATAGTGGTGATGCCCCAGAAAGTGCCTTGACTTTGAGGCAGGGGTGTCCAACCTGTGGCCCATGGACCACGTGAAGCCCAAGGTGGCTATGAATGTGGCCCAACACAAAATTATAAATTCACTTAAAACACTATGAGATTTTTTTGTTTTCATTAGTGTTTGTGTACCGAATGTGTGGCCAAGACAACTCTTCTTCTTCCAGTGTGGCCCAGAGACGCCAAAAGAATGGGCAACCCTGGAGGGGAGCTGGCGGCTGCTTTGCCACTAACCAGCCGAGCGTCGCTGGGTGGGTCTCTGGCCTCAGTTTCCTCCTCTGTAAACAAAAGGGACAAGGGGAGCACTGAAGACCTTTGTCCCCTTGCAAATACTTTTTTGCAATTTGGTGCAATATAGCTTAAGTAGGAATAATATAAGCCCTGCCAGCCCCATGAGTCCCTGTGCAGTCACTTCTTGTCCTTCATCTAAGCGAGTGCCAAGACTCCAAGATATGCCCAGCTGTACACCGAAACAGAGAACCTACTATATCTAAAAGATGAATAATCAACATTCGGCTGTTCAGCTCAGCAATAAGACAAGCGAGGGGCCAGACAAGCCCTGCATCTGGAACATCAGAGGCAGCTAAGTGGTTTCATGTGTTTTGGACTAATTAATAAGCCAAATATTTCATCACAGTTGATTTTTTGGATGGGGAAGTAATGATTATTATTAAGTAAAAATCTCCTTGTCCTATTTCTTTTAAAGTTTGTGTTGTCCAGTGCCTGTAACGTTACAGTCAGAGGGATTTAAAAGCACCGCCTCAGCTGTTTGTTCTGAGGGCGGGCGGGGAGCCGCAGGGGCCGCGGCGGAATGGCCTCTGGTGGCTGAAAGGTCACCCTGCACACAGGCCCGGCGACCCCTCTGGCTGGCTCGGTCACTTTGATTCTCTCCCTGAGAATCTGGGGCTGGAGCCGGTTCGGTCACTCCAGGGAGGCTGTGCAGCCCCCAATGAGGAGACAAATGAAGGGCTGTGGGCTCCATAGTAATTAGCTTACAGAGCTGTATTTTCCAACTTTTGTTTACTTTCCGATAAAGTGACTGTGACCCCCCAGTGTCACTTATCATAGTTCAAAGTGTCAGGGACAGCCAGGTGTTTCATGTAACTTTCAAGCTCCACTAATCCACAGATCGGTGGTTCTCAACCTGGGAGCTTTAAAACGTGCCGATACCATCATCCCCCTGCCCCCGCTGTGACTCCCAGATGGGTGGGGTGCAGCACAGTTGACCAGATTCTTAAAAGCCCCCCGCCTGGCTATCATGTGCCATCGGGGTTGAGAACTCTGGCCAGGGCACAAATCTGCACCCTCAGCTTTAAAAAACAAACATGCCTTGTTCGCTTCTGACCCTGCTCATGTGAAATATGTTGGGAACATTCTTTAGTTTTTCTAAGTTTACTAATTATTACTAATAGAGTATGTAAGGAATTCTATTTCTAATGCTTAGGATATATGCATAGCCCACCATCAGTAAAAATTAGAGCTATCTGCCCCCATGTGGCTGATTGATAATACTGCACCTTTCCAATCGGAAACAGTTGGAGTGATATGTTAAGTGATACCTCCCTCAACATGGTCATGGTTGTGGTCAGAGACACTCAATGGCTATATCAAGAGGACTGAAAACAAAGTCTAAGGTGTCTACCCAGATTTCTAAATGAATTATTAATGTAGCATAGCCAGGGTTATTTTAGCTCCTGTCGGACGATACTGTCGACAAACGGCAGCACAGAGGAGTCCCAGTTCTGGATGGACTGCAGCTGCCCATCTCCACACACGGCAATTTATCGTCACACCCTCTGAGAGCTCATTCCAAAGGAAACTCGTCTGTCGTTTTGCAGATGACTTTATTTCTTAAAAGATATGAACAACCGTGATCATGTTAACATCTATGGAGCATCTGTCAGGGATGAGGCACTGTTCTGGGAACCTGCAGGTGTCCTTGATGCCTCACAGCAATGCCAGGTGGTAAGTGCCATTCCCCTCTTTACATCGGAAAGGACGGATGCTCACAAAAGCTGTGACTTCCACCCTGGAAGGGGCTAAGTGAGGACATCAGGATTCAGTCTGGGTGGTCAGATTCCACCAGAGCCTGCATTCCTTGCTACTCTGTTCCTGTCCATGGAAGTCTCAGAAGTCTTGGGAACAAAGTTCACCTTGATCTCTGCTCTGATCATTTCACAAAGGGACAGAAAACAGACTAGGCATCCTCAGGTCAAAGGCCACTCAGCAGCGCCGCCTCCCTGGAGCAGAGAATGTGCTTCAGCGGCACTCAGAGGGCTCTGCTGGAACAGCGCACAGGCCCTCTCCGGGGTTTTGGGATTTTGGAGAACATTCGCCCATGCTGTTGTGATGCTGGTGCTGCTGCTGGTCCTGCTGCTGGTCTGGCGAGCACACCTGGCACCGCGGCCCTGGGGCCACCCTGGCAGATGGCTCTCGGGTATTGGGAACAGGACTCCCAGTGGCAGGCTCCCTGGCCCCCACAGTGCCCAGGTCACAGGCTGTAAGTGCCCAGCCTCAGCTCCCAGCACCCAGGGAGACCTAAGTCATCTTCCTTGTCTGTAAAGGAGATTGAACTAAAGATACATTAGTTCTAACACCCCATGATATAAACAAAATAGAGTCTAGAAGCTAATGAAAAGTTTTACTCTTACAAAATTTCAAATCGCCTTAATTACACCAACACTTGGAAAGTTCAACCAAGTACATAAAAGTAGAAGTGAAAGCCTGGTTTGTGATGGCCTGGCTCCGCCAGTCCGGTAAAAGGGAGGCCATTCGCAAATCATTGAACAGGTGTCCTCGTTTATTTGGCGTTTCCCGTACCTCACACAGGGCCCGGGAAGTATCAAATGCTCCAGAGATAGGATCGGAAGGAGAGATGGGTGGAGGAATGGGTGGACGGACAGACAGACCCCTAAAGGGGTGAGAGTGACAGAAGTGGATGGGAAGATAGGATGGACGGGATAGGGAGGTTGGGGGAGGGGACTGTTCGGTGGGCTAGTCGGCGGCATGCTGTGGATGGATGCTAGGTCGGGGGAGGTTCCTGTCCCCCAGCTGCCCTTGAGTAGTAACAGACCTGGCATTGGGGCCCTTGTTTATGCCAGGAGCCGCCACTCAAAACCGTGAGCACACATGAGGTGGGTTAAGGCTTCAGTCATTTACTTCCGAGTATGTTCTCGCACAGAAATTCCCTTGTGTCTGTGACGTTGCAGCCTGAGCCTAAATAACTCTAATTTGTGTCAGATGAGTTCAAGCTCTACAGGCAATTAGGGCTGTAAATCGGTCCATTAAACGGGGAGGAGGAGCCCACAGGAAACTCTGATCCGTGGGAAAGGCATTGGACTCAGATGCGGGAAACCTCCGTGGTAAACCCATGTCACTTGTACCTTGCCAGTGACTTTCAGAAAGGGTGGATTCAGGGACAGAAGTGTATCGTCACAGTTTTGGAGGTTATGAGTCTGGAACAGCGTGTCGGCAGGGCTGGCCCCTGGGGTGTGTGGAGGAGCGTCTGTTCTGTGTATCTCCCCCGCCCTGAATCCTGGAGGTTCGCTGGGACCTCTGGTGGCCCTGGGCTTCTGCTGCATCGTCCTGACCACCACCTTCATCTCCATATGGTGTTCTCCCTGGGCTTGTGTGCCCAAGCGCCCCCCTTTTTATAAGGACACCGGTCCTATTTGACTGCATGCCCCTTTACTCCAGCATGGGATCATCTTGAGTGACAATATCTGCAATGACCCAGTTTTCAAATACAGTCACAGTCTGAGGCAGTGGGAGGGGCAGGGACCATTCCATGTCGAACACCCTATTTCACAGGCATATTTCAAGCATTCACTATGTGAGCTACCAAGAAGCGACCCCAGCTCTTCGGTGGCTCCCACGCTGGCACCAGTATCCCCTCTGCAGGGAGGCCTGGAACACCTGCCGTTTGAGTGGGACAGGTGGGAAATGCCCCCTGACCTCAGTGGACAGCAGTATCTCCGTGCGCAGAGAGAGGGGCTCCAGGGAAGGCTTGAGCCACGTCTTGCCGGTTGGTAGAATCCCACGAATGGAGGCCACCACGAGGGCGTCCCAGGAGAGAGAGCAGCAGGGACAAAGGCACGTGGGCCAAGAGGCACGAAAGATGACTTGGGGGAGACGTTTCTCTACTGTCCCCAAGCTCCCTTTCGGATCACAGTGTCACCTGTCACGCAAAGAGCACACCTGGACCAACCCCAAAGGCCATGGTCACACTGTCCTGTCCACCAGGACAAGACGCCGTGCCCCTTGTCACCCTGCTCTGGGCCCGCCCCTCTGCCACCTTCTGCACAGCCCTGGTGGCCTTCACCTACGCGTCGGTAGCAAGGTGGCCTCCGGTGTCTCATTGCCCAGCACTCGGCTGTCTGCGGCCGTTTCGGTGTCAGTTGGGTGAGAGCTGTGTGAGTTCTTGGCCACGTCGCCCTTTCACGCACCCATTTTTTTCCTTCATAAAATATGGCTTCCCAGAAAGCCCTTGGAGCTCCCAGCACTCCACAGCCTGGCATCGGGACTCTTCCCGATGGAAGGGTGCTTTCTCGGGCCTGCTCCCTCGGCCCTAGGCGGGCGTGTCCAGAGCGCCTGGCAGGTTTTCCACATCTCCACAGAGGCCGGTGCCCGGCCCCGATCCGTGACCCCGCCCCGCCTGGCCTCTGCCTTTGATCAGCTGGGTGATCCCAGGCGATAAGGACCAGCTCTGTGAGCCCCACTGCCTGAGCGTGGGGATAATTTACGGCGTGTGAACCTTGGCCTTTGGAGGGGAGTACAGTCATGTCACGCTGGTGCAGCCTGCCTCCTGGAAAGGTCCTGATTAAAGGGCCAGGGTTCGTGTTTTCCCACATCAAAGAGAAAGAGGCTGGGTTGCTTAAATGGGAACAGCTGAGCCCAAAACCTAACAGTGTCCCGCCCCCTCTCTCCCTGACCTGGGGCATGCTGCCGGTGCCCTGAGAACCACAGAATCCCCCAGCATGGTCCACTGTCAGCCAGTTCGCCCCAGGGCTGGCTTCCGAGATACTGTCACTGCGGAGGTAGAAGTCCTCCAGCCCCCAGGCGACCGACCAGTGCCCGCCTCCTCTCTCAGGGCACGACGAGAAGTCTGAGAACGCGGTGAGAGCCGGCACCTGCTGCGCCTCGTGCAAGGAGTTCCACCAGATGAAGCAGACGGTGCTGCAGCTGAAGCAAAAGGTGCATGCCCGGCGGGTGAGGAGTGATCCCAAAGTAGGAGCACGTGGCAGAGATGAGGTGGGAAGATGTCGAGAAGTAAAAAAAAAAACTATGACCTCACTGAGCGTCTAGAGGTCAGTGCCAACTAGGCTTAGACTGGAATGGTTTGCCCATCAGCCTCAGAGCTGATGGAACGCAGTGGGTGAGTATTAAAACGGACCCCTAGGTAAGGGGCATTTTTAAAGGTGCCTGTTAGAATGTGGGGAACCCCAACCTGGAGGTATGCCAAGCTGACTTTCAGGTCGCCCAGGATTTTGATTCTCGTGGTCTCCCCGCTGGATTCTGAGTAGTGATCACGGGGGAATGGAGCACCTTACATCTGTCTCTCAGAGAAATACCAGGTCTTCCTGAATTCTGGAGGGAGGCAGTGCGGAGTCAGGAGTCTCTGAGGTTGTGGACCCGGGAGGCTGTCCCTCCCTGAGGGTTTTCGCTCTCGCGAGAGGGCCCCCACGCTTCCCAGGAGTGCGTGTGCACAAGTGCGGGGGTGCCCAGGGGCTATTAGGGAGACAGTGTTGATGCTTTGGAGTTCCAGGCTGGGGAGCCAGCCTCCCAGGCTAAACTGGGTCACCCAGGGCCCTGACCGGTGTGGCTCAGCTGGTTGGCCTGGATAAAGGGGTGTTATCGTGAAAAGCTTTCACAGCTGCTGTGAACAACACAGTGATAAGAATCCCCCAACAAAGGGGCCTTCGCTCCCTGACATCTTCCTCCTCTCTCTCTCTTTCTCCTTCCCTCCCTCTCCCTCTCTCTCCCCCTCTCTTTCTCTGCAGATCGCCCTGCTCCCCAACAGTGCTGCCGACCTGGACAAGTACATCACTGGTAACAAGGTGCTCGCCTCCAACGCCTACCTGCCGGGACCCCCTGGCCTGCCTGGGGGCCAGGGCCCTCCGGGTGAGTGTGGGCAGGGCATCGAGGGGACAGTCACCAGCCAGAGCCTCCCAAGAGCTCACGTTTGGTGGGGGCTGGGTGCAGCTGTGTGGCTGCCATGGGCAGGGGCAGTAGCAGGAATCCAGGGGGCATCCACACCTGTGCGAAGAGAGGACTTTGGGAAACGGGGTCCCCAAGGCTGAGAGATCCTCATAGCCTGTAGTCATCTGGAAGACAAAGGTCAGTGTCCCGCCATTGGATAAGGTTCTTAGAGATCATTTGAAGTTGCAGAGAAACAACATGGAAACTATGTTTTAGCATGAATACACACAAAAACAAGACTTGGTTTGTGAGCTCTTGTGGGCTCTAACAGCACAGGACCAGCCTGCTTCCCCCAACTCCGCAGTCATTTCCTCCGTCCCACTGCTGTGAACACATTTGCATCAATATTGGTTTACACATATATTTTTTCTTTGTAAGTCAACCCTACTGAGATACGATGATATCCAATAAAATTATCCATTTAATTTACAACTTCTGACACATGTACACATCCTGTATCAAGCACTTGCTAACCCCACCCTGTATTGGTACCTGCATCAACATAGAGACCGTTTCCATCACCCAGAAACACGCCCCTGTGCCTGTTTGCAGTCAACCCCTGCTGCAGGCCACCACTGACTTGCTTTCTATCGCCATAGTTTTGTCCTAGAACTGCATAGCAATGAACTTCATAGTGTGTATTTTTTATCTGGCTTTGCTCATTCACCATACTGTTTTGGAGATTCACCCTTCTTATTTTGAAGAAAATGTCAAATGTCCTATCATTTCATCAGAATAAATGCAGTGAGAACTTTAAACATTTGTCACCAACTGTTCTATTTTCTGCCTCACAAATATGAAATACATTTTGTATTTTTATGATTTACTCCGTAGATAGAACAATAGATTTTTTTCACACCCATGAAGGAAATGACATAAATGTTAGCAAGTGATTCTAAAACACGGAGGGCTTTATCCCCATTTACCGTTGCTCAGCAGCACGCTAGGTGTTGGGGGTGACCTCCCAACTTGCCCATTGGGCAGACAAGACACAGAGTGAAAGCAAATAGGATCAGACAGGATCCTCAGGCCTTGGCTCAGTGCATGGTGCTCCCTGCTGTGGAGCTTAAAGCAGGGAGGGACCACTGAAGCCTGACCTGATCAGGGTCTTGAGGATTGAGCTGGACATGAAAGAAAGACCGGTAGGACCTGTCCAAACAGAGAGGGCACGGGCAGATTTTGGGTTGGAAGGTCAGCAAGAACAAAGGCTCACAATTCTTCCCAAGCTATTTATGGGTTTTCTTCTGTACTCATATCTTAATCTCCTGGTTTCCATTAAACACAGGCGGCCTGGGTCTCAGTTTATACAGAGAACCAGAACTGGTCCAGGACTGTGGTGTAGACTCTTGTTCGTCCCCTTGGCCTGCAGCGCGCTGGTCACAGTGGGGTTTTCTCCAGCAGATGCCTCACAAAGGAAGCTTCTCACTGCTCTGCGTACATTTTGGTCTCTTCCTACAAACTGACTCCTAGCACCGCCTACTCCACGCTGCTCCAAGAGGACACGCCTACTCTGCTGACCTGCAGAGAGTTCAGTCCACATGTCTCCCCACAAGGACGAGCTGGGAACAGGGGAGCCATTCAGTGGCTGTCTTTCTTCTTAATAAATGACTTGCTGACTTTCTTTCCAGTCTGCCTTCTGGTTCCCAACATGGTTTGAGCTGTCCAGGGTCCTCGATGGAGCAGAAAGTGATGGAGGACTCTGCCCCCGCTCTCTCTTCCAATCCTGTTCCTCTCTCACTCCTTACTTCTGGCATCAGCCCTTCATTGAGAGGCGTTAGGGCAGCTAGAGAAACAATAAGGTTTCTTCTACCCTTAACTGGAAGTCCAGTCCCCAGGCCTATGATTGGGGTGCCAACACAGGAAACTACATTAAGTTGGAATCCTTTGGCTTTGGAGGTGAGGGTGGCTGCTGCTCTCTGGCTGCCCCCCCCCCACTCTTATGTATAAGGCGGTGCCATTTGCACAGCAAAGCCCCACACTTTAAAGATATTGGACAGACAGTGATCTCTGAAGGTCGTTGGTTACGTAAATGAGGGTAAGACATGGTCTCTGGCCTGTCCTTGTGCTGTTAAAGGTAAAGCGTTTCATTATGGGAGGCATCTGGTCTCCCTCCCGGTAAGTTCTGCAGGCCGCACCTGGAACCAGCATCGAGGGTAGAGGTGTGAAACAGGTTTGAATGAAACATCGACCGCCTCCGGCATTGGCTTCATTATTCAAGAAAAGCCTAACAGTTTTTTAGTGCCTTTATGTGTGAGGTACTCTGCGGAGTGATGCGTGTAAGTATCTAAAATCTCATTTAATACTAGCAGCCACTCTGCAGGATAGATTTTTATCAGCACGGCTTCTCAGGTGAGAAGCAAAGGGCAAAAGAGGGCGAGCAGCTCGTCCAGGATTCAGACCGAGGTCTCAGATGCTGACACCTGTACTGTTGACCACTATCCAGGTGTGGTAGCCACCACCCTGCCTGGCCGAGGGGTTACAGAGGAACTGACAGTTGTAAGAGACAGGGAAGAGGTAAGCTGTTGAGGAACTGGTTGCAGATTGGATAAGGGCATGTGGAAACAGGGAGATCTATAGGAGGCTCTCAAGATTCTGGCTTGAGTGGACAAGTGACTGGTGGTTCATGAAATAAGAGGAAGATGCGGAAGTCAATTTAGACCATAGTAAGTTTTAAATGCCGAAGGGGCATCCCACGGCAGGTGTCAGAAGGCAAAGGGCAAAGGGCAGAGGGCACAGAAAATCGGCTTCCCGAGCTTGCAGGTTCTTGAGAGTCTGCGCCCTGGTCTTCCTCGCAGGATAAGGCGCTAATGAGCTGTTCTTTGATTACAGGCTCGCCGGGACCGAAGGGCAGCCCTGGCTTCCCCGGTGTGCCGGGCCCTCCTGGGCAGCCGGGCCCGCGGGGCTCGATGGGACCCATGGGACCATCTCCTGACCTGTCCCACATTAAGCAAGGCCGGAGGGGCCCTGTGGTCAGTATTTTCTCAGAGGCCCTCTCAACTGTGGTCGAGGAAATTGCGTTCTTGTCCCCTGCTTTTTCCCTCTGCTAAACTAGACCCTTTGTCTCGTAGGGCCCGCCAGGCGCCCCAGGAAGAGATGGCTCTAAGGTCAGTCTAAGGAGCGGCTCCTCGGTCTCTGGGAAGTTCTAGCACTGCTTGCTGTCCTCTCTGCGCGTGGGGAAACTGAGGCACAGATAGACTTCCCCCCCAGAACAATCTAAAAAACAATTTCCTCAAAACATGAAACACCCATAAAAACAAAACAGCCACCAAAACCATGCCTAAGAGAGGTTAGTGCCCTGTGTGGTCGCAGTTGTGTGTGCCTTTCTCTCCGGCCGCTCTTCTTCCGTGGGGCTGTTTTGCGTGTCACACGTTGAAGCCCAGAACGGACACATTCCATTCTGTACAGGGAGGTAGTTTCACGTTGAGAGTGGCCTGCTCCCTGCCTCGTAAAGTCTGTGCGAGTCACTTTAGAAAGCTCCTAAATTATTCCGCATGCTGCCTGGAAACATGAGCATTCCTCTGGTCACATCTGGTTTGAAAATATATGACCTCAGGGTTAAATCTGAATGAGAGACGTTTGACCCAAGCCGTTCTGTTCAGATAAGCGGTCCCAGGAGTCCAGTGTAAGCTTCCGTTTGCTTCTGATGGAAAACACTTGTTTCAGGCCTGGTCATGGTCATGGTCATGGGGGGGGGGGGCGCTGTAAATAGAGACTATGGTGGTGGCATTCATGTGGTACAGAAAGCTAACTTTGACCTTTCTGGTTTTAGGGGGAGAGAGGAGCCCCTGGACCCAGAGGATCTCCTGTGAGTAGTGCCGCCTGCCTCACCTCCCTGTAGGAGTGTTCTCAGGGCTGCAGCTCTGAGAAGCCTGTGCGTGGGTCTCATTAGCAGAAGCCGGCTCCTTCCCGCCAATGCAGAGCCCACCCAGACAGTCGAGGGCTTCAGAAGGAAAGTCATGGGGGCCTTCCGCAGCTGCTTGGGATTTGTCTTGACAGTTTGTTTCCTATTCCTTTTTCTTTTATCATGGCTAATCTTTATTGGAAATATCTTAAGATTCAAAACCTCAGTATGCCATGAGTCTGTTTCTAGGTATGTCCTCAAACATCCGAAGAGACTAGGAAGAAAAAAAAAACTCTGTGGAGCTAAGCCCCAACTCTGAAGGCTTAAGAATTTAGCCACTGCTCCAGCCCTAGCAGGGCAGCTGGCCATCCCCTCCAGAAAGTACGAGACAGAAAGCATGGCTGGGACGCCTGAGAAGAAGTTAGCTGGAGACATGTGCGGTGTTTGGGAGACTAACAGTGCCAGTCAGTAGTATCCAAAAGCACAGAAAAGTCAAGCAACTCCATAGCTTTTGAAGAGGTCACTGTCATTTCCGAAGAAGGACAAAGAGCTTCAGCGTTAGAGGTAGGGCTCTGGGTTCCCATCTCAGCTCTTCCACCTGCCAGCTCTCTGACCCTGGCCACATCACGCAGCAGCCTGGGCACCTGCCCCCCAACCCCCCCCCGTGCAGGGAGCCAAGTGGGGTCTGACCTGCCATGAGTCAGTGAGCACCCACGGAGGTCGCAATACCGTGCATCACTGAGGACCTGCAGGTGGCATCTGCTCTTTCCAGCCCAGTGGCATGGGTCCCTCAACGCCACAGTCAAGAATCCTTATCAATACTCTAATTTTGTTTTAAAAGATCATATTTTTTAGCATGTGCTATGGTCTCAGCAATTTGCCTGCACTAACTCATTTAAACACTCACTTGGAAGCCTATGAAACATAATGAAGTGGAGACTATTATCGCCTTTTAAGGGATGCAGAGATGGGAACCCAAAGAAATTAATTCACTTGCCCAGAACCAGCTAGTGAGTGGCAGAGCTGAGCTCCAAACCCAACAGAACCCCAGCCCTTAACCCTGACTCTAAGCTGCCAGAGCATCTTCAGATAAGTGGCCTGGGAACATTCTTCTATTCTGTCATTCTACCACATTGGGTGTAACCCAGAATTGGGAGGGAAGAGAGGTGGCTCCGTTATCCAGAAGATGAGGGTGTCAGAAGGCCAGAGGAAGAATCCCCGGGGCTAGTGTAATAGTCTGGTGTTTTCTGCATTTGGGACATGAAATTATAGACTAAGAGGTTGCCAGCCTGCAGCAGGAATGGCAAGTGATGGAGCCACAGAAGCCCCAACTCTGCAAGGGGCTGAGTCTGCAGTTCTGGCTTTGATTCCTCTCATGTTCACAGGGCCCCCCTGGTTCCTTCGACTTCCTGCTGCTGATCCTGGCCGACATCCGCAATGACATCACTGAGCTGCAGGAGAAGGTGTTCAGGCCCCAGACTCACCCTTCGCCAGAGGACTTCCCTTTAGCTCAGGAATTCTCCAGCTATCCGGAAACCATGGATTTTAGCTCTGGAGATGACTCCCCGGAAAGAACTGAGGCAAGAGACTTGGGGACCCCCAGAGACTTTTATCCTTAGCACGCACCAACAGCTTCATGCCAAAGGAAGAGAAGAGTTTTCCTACCTGCAATTAAATCATCTAAAGAAAAGACCAAAAAAAACCACTAAACCCCACCACTGGAGACCTGGACAAGATACGTCATTATTTTCTTGGCTCTTTCCTGCCTTCTCCCCACTTCTTGTTTTCCAAACACTACTTTCAGAGGCTCCCTGCTAGACGTGCTAGACACGAGGGAGTAAATGAGTGATTTACATGCCTCTGCCTGAGAGCAGGTGGGCTGGTCGACATTGGAACTTCTCCCCTATTTATTTATTTCTCTTAAGAACTTTTGACTTTCTGACTTATGTTCTCACAGTCTCTTAAACCTGACAGAATCAGAGGGAAACGTGGCAAGGGGAGCTCAGAAAAATGTGAGGTTACTTATAAAAAAAGAATTAGATACATGTCCCAAAGAGGCTTTGACTCCTCAGTATCAAAATAGGGCCTTTTCGATGAAGAGGAAGAAACAGCACAGTGTATTTACTTTGGTGGGTGATTCTTTTTCATGGTTAATCTAATAGATTTTAAATGTTTGGCCTCTTGTCCAACCTCATTTCCCGATTTTGATTGAGAGGGGAGAAAGTGCAGAAGGAGCCGAGATGAGGAAGGATGGAGAAGAGTCATGCTGTCGTATGGGTTGCCACATTCTAAATTCAAAACTGGCCAGTAAGTGTTCGTGTGATGCTTACCTACCAGTATCCTATTCAGAAAAGGAAGTTGCTGCAGGTGTAGGACTAAGTCCTCTTTTCAAAAGAGAAAACTGAATCAAGTGCCTTGATTCGCCTTAGGATAATGGGCTCCTGGTTTGCCAAGACATTTTAAAGCTGTTTGATTGAATGAGTGGGCTTACTCATTAAATCACAGATTCTTTGCTGGACAAGGGTGGCAGGCCCTCAGAGAGATGCAGAAACTCCTAGGCTCTGACTGGGTAGCCAGAGGTGTCATTAGGCTGTGATTCAGGTTGAATCAAAGTGCATTGGAACTCAGGACTAGAAGGGCCAGCTTGAGTTGTTGGCCAAGGGGAAGGGGAACCTCCGGAAGGGACCCCCCACGAATAGGTAGAGGCAAGTAACTTTGCTCTCGTGGGGAATTAGAAATCCTCGTCCGGGGCCAGCCAGGCTTCCCAAGAGAGAATTATACCCTATTGAAAGTTTGCCTAGATGTGGAGGGGGGAAAAATAACAGTTTTCCCTGTTTGGCAGAAATTTCCTTCCCACTAGTCCCATTTTCCTTTCATTGTCCATAATGTAATTCAAGATCCGGTGCTTGCAGGCCTTCTCTGTGGTTCCCCTTCTCCCAGCAAACACGAGAAGCGGTTGACAGGAGAAGCGGTTGGGAAAGGGGCATGTTGCCGAACCTGCCATTGGTCTGTGTGTGCTTATGCACTTCTGGGTCCCCAGGGCCAGGAGCAAGAGGATGTGCTCAGAAGATGGGCAGAGGTATCCCCTCCTTTGTAGTACTCTTGGAGAACCTCTTGGCTTTGATGGGCAGCCTGCAGGTTTCTTCAAGTACATGTTCTCATTTGACACATGGAATGGCTTTCCATCCACCTGTGCAGGAGACCTTCACCCTTGCACTGAACCCCACCAATTATCCCACAACAACTCATGTTTGCTTATATTGGCATTTCCATTTGCCATCCTATGATTTCCCCCTATATTTCTGGGAGATTTGTGTTTAGTTTCCTTTTTCCATCATCTCCCATTTCTCCTGGGGCACTTGTTACGAGAGAACTGCTGTCGGTGTTCGGGTGTTCGGTGTTCGCCTGCCTCTTTTCAATCTTCCTTCAGAAAGACGGCAGATCTCAAGAGACAACCGCCTTCCCTCCATTCTCCTTAGAAACACAGGGCTCAGGTCAGTTGGCCCGGTGGCCTCATCTTTCACAAACTGCCCCTCCTTCTTCCTCATGCAAAACCCCCATTGCCTGGCCTCCAAACGTCACAGCTGAAAGCAAGCACATTCTCAGTGCTCCCCTTTTACGCCTCCTCCCTTCCCCCTCCAGCCTCCAGCCTCCAGCCTCGCCAGCCACAGTTTCTGTTGAACACAGTAGCTGTGGCTTCCCCTCTGCAATGTATCTAATGTTTGCCGGCTTGCGGAGCACAGCATTTAAAGGCTGTGGGCGGGCGAATGCTCAAGGAAAGGATGCACAGGCTCTGTGAGAAACGATTAGGTCTGTCTTTGATTTTTTTTGTGAGGAATTATATTACCTTTTCTTTTCCTTAACAGTGAACTCTGTTGAGAAATATAATCTTCTTTATCGTTAAATGCTCATGAAATGCAAGCAAACTGCACGTTAGACATGCAGAAGCTAGGATAAATATATTAAAAGAATGGACAGATAGTGGTAATATCTGGGATTCCTGACACTATTCTAGATAATATTCGCCCACAAAACACACAATAGCCTGTATTTCATCATCTCAGTCTGCTGAATCAGGTCAGCAATTGTGTATAAAATAATTATTCAGAGTCAGATTTTCAAAAGCTGGACAAGGCCCACAGGACTAAAAATATGTGCTTTCCATGCCCAAATCATGTTTTCCACAGATAAGATATTACAAGATGCTGTTATTTCTAACGTATCTTTTAGTTATGGGTAGGGAAACAAAGTTTCATGGTCTCAACAGCCCCATCTTCTCAAACCCGAATGGAAAAGCCATTTGGGGGGTAAAATTTGCTGGACTTTTGCTGAGCCTTTTCGTGGATCGGGAGGGAATGGTCTTTGCATGTTCAACGCTGCGGCAGAAACGGACTGCAGTTTTTTGCACCCTGATAACTGGGACTCGTGAATAGGACGTAATAGATTGTTTCTATTTCAGGAAAGCAGTGGGAATAAAAATCTGATTGGAAATATTGCAGGGAAGGCACACATTTTAGTTTGAGAATATCCTCCTCCCTTCCCAATTCCAGAAGAAATTATGTATCCCCAAAGGATATGGGGGTACAGAGGAGACGCTGTTATCTTCTCTCTTCTGTGTTCACTCCAACAGCTGCCACAAAGTGGATTGACCCACGGAAGTCATGTCTACTATGTACACTCAGGTGTGCGCACAGTGGAATGGTCAACAGTGAATGCACATCCACATGGGGGAGCTGTACCCCACTGCATCCTAGGCGAAGGGCATCCAGTTCTGGCCATGTTCCATGGTTCTGGCCTTGAAAGTCCGGTTTCTAGGCATGCAAGGGGAGATCTTCTCCATGCCAGACACCTCCCTGGGGTGACAGCAAATCCCTCATCATACTCTGGGTGTCACGCCCCCTTCCTGGCTCCCCCGACTGCAGCCCGTCCCAGAGAGAGACAGCAGCCTCGCTGTGCAAACCAAACATCTGTCAGATAACCTTCCTGACAAAGACATCTATTTGCAAAGAGCCCGGGCCAAACAGCTAGCAGAGTAGAGCCATCTAAAGTTATTAATGAATTCAGGGAAATAGATGGATTTTTCCTGGCACTGTCAGCATGTATGTTTCACAACAAATCAAAACCATGATTTACTATTTGAAAAAAAAATAACCATGACCATAATTGTTAAAGCATAAAATCTTGGGATTGCATGCTGCTTCAACAAAAAATAGTGCTTCAGGGAAACCACAGGAAAAAGACCCTTTGCACCTGCCCCAGGGACCTCTGTTCTTTGTTACGTTCCCAAAGCAAGAGCCCTGGCGGGCGTCGTGCGTGTCATGACTCTTTCTCCCAGTGACTAGTCATATTCTTCTGTAGCTATTTTGTTCATTATTTATAACAGATCCATACAACAGTGGAGCTAGTATTCAAATAGTGATGAATGTGATACTATGAAGTCCTTTTGACGAGATTGTATATGCTTAATAACAAAGTTATTTTTCTTATGTGGTTGTGCTGTGTTTTGTCCCGATACCCTGTCCCGTGGAACGCATTGTCTTTTTCCAAGATGAATCCAAGGAGACGGAGGGAGACAGCTCTCCCTGGAGCCTGTGCTACCCTGTGGGCCGGCCACGTCCTGGGCTGTGAGTGTGGTCCCAACATCTGAGCGTGAGCCAAGGGCTGAAGGCCTAGGTTCCACTGAGTTTAGAGTCTCAGAAGTCCACACCCCCAGCCAGGGGTGAGGGCCGTCCTCTGGGACCCCTGGGGGGTGTTGTTTAAGAAGCCTCAGGGCATTGTTAGGGGTACCCAAGGAGCTCACAGGTGGAATGCTGTTGGGGGTTCTACCTCTTCCTACCTCTACTGCATTCCGAGCAACTCAATTTTAGTTGGGTTGGGATTGGAATTCCTCATTAGGTTTCCTTTGGAAGGGGAAAAATTAACTACCTAAAGAAAGGCTAAAATAAATAGAATTGGGAGGTGGGAGCCCTATGGGTTGGTAGCTGAAGTCCCCCATGTGAAGGTAAGAGGAGGGGAACTTTCATCAGCTGGGTCATATGGGAGAAGTTATATAACAAAAGGGGAGGTTCCTCCTAAGGGGTTTTCTGCTCTCGGGCAGGTGCCTTTAGCATCCCGGAGTTCACCTATATTCATGCATCTCCCTTTCCTCTAGCCAACAGTTATCAAATGCTTGTTGAAATCTGTGTGCTCTGCACTACAGACCATGGGGAGTACAGAAGTCATCATCCCCGTCCTCTTGGGGATTTTTGGCAAGACAGACAAAGATCCTTCCAGGCAAAATAAGTTAATCACATAAATATGCAACTACAAACTGATAAGTGCTATGATGAGCAGTCTGTGCTGCAAGAGCCAATAGCAGCTCGTGCCAACAGGACACGACCTCCACTCCCCAGTCACATGTGAAGCTCCCACAACACAGCCACGCAAGGCCTCAGCCCTCGCAGAGAAAAGCTTCCCAAATCCTCCGGGTGAAACAGCAGTCAATGGGAACCCGGGAGACCCCTCCCTATATTATTTTTCCAGTCTTCTTCATTTAAACAGTGGCTTGTTGGACCCAAAGCTGGGTGGACACTGCTCACTGCCCCTGGACGCGCTGTGGGTGCGGTTGGCTGGTGACCTCCTGTGCTCTGCTGTGACTTCCCAGCGGAATATGAGGCTGGTGTCTTCCCACCTGGGAGGCTGCGATTTTGAACAACGCTTGCTGTGCTTTTGAAACACCCTCAGGATTTATCCACTGGCTCAGGTCCAGATACCGGGTTCCAGGGTGGCCAAGTGCAAACCTGCATTTAGCCATTGGAGGTAGGGGTGGGGCGGCTGGGATGGTGGCGGGAGCAGCACCAGGAATCCTGTCAGGGTTATGTGGGGGCAACTGCAATTGAATCGCAGTGATTTTTCAGCCTTTCTCATCTCATGGCACATGTAGCAGACTGTCCAGCAGAGTCTGCCTGTTGTGGCTGATGATGAGAATCAATGCACAGGCGACAGCAATCCTGTGTGGAAAAAGGGAACAGGCACGACTACTCTCTCAAGGGGAGAGTGCCTATGGGTGCCTCGGCCACTCCCTCAAGAGGGGAGCACCCCGACCCTTGCCTAGACAGGCTTTTATTGTCTTCCTGGGGTCTTACATCATGAGAAAGATTATTACCTATGACATAGAACATTATTGTCTACATTCTAGGTACAATCAAGGAAATAAAAATAGCATGCAGAGGGGGATGGCAATGAGCTCATTAGCTCCGTCCTTGGGAGAGCTCACACAGGCTTTGGAAATTACCTTGAAGATAAACAATACACATCTGTTGCTTTAGACCAGGGTGAGAGAGTTTTAACAAGAGCAAGCCATAACAATCTGTAAGCATTTTCTAGGACTGATTTCCACAAGAAAACTCGGTTTGCAAGTCTGGCTCCTGCCCACCGCTTCATATCTGTAGGTTTTCCATACAGAGCTGAGTCACATTTGCCAGGCCAAGACAAACCAGTCCCCTACAGGCACAGATAAACTTATTACTAGAATTCTGCAGCACACCAAAAAATATAGTCTTCGACAATCTGGCAAAAAGACAGGTGTAATTTTGATACATTCACAGGCGATGGCTGTTCTGTTGGCTATAGTCCTTTTTTAATTTGTCAGTCTAAGGGAAAAGAGGTCAGTGCCCCTGACTAGTCAAGTGTTGCATGTTTTAAAAATTCTTGTGGCACATCGGTTGGGTATCACTGACCTCAGGGACCACCCAGATGCGGAAAAGAGACGTGTGTTTGTGTTCTTGGGCCACCATCACGAAGCACCACCACCGGGTGCTTCAACAACAGAAATGTGTTTTCTTATGCTTCTGGAAGCTACAAGTCCAAGCTGGGTGTCAGCAGCGCCCAGACCCCTGGAGGTGCTGAGGGAGAAGCCTTCCCGAGCCTCTGCAGTTTCTGGTGGTCGCCATCCACTCGGTGTTGCTTGCCTCGAATGTCACCTGTCACATGCTGTTCCTCCAACATGTCTTTTTGTCTCCATCTTCACATGGTGTTCTTCTTGCTGAGATGCCACCCTAATCCAGGCTGGCTTCATCTCAATTTAACCAATTGTATCGGCAGAGATCCTAGTTCCAAATGTCACAATTTCAGGTTCCAGGTAGCCATGAAGGGAGGGGGCAGGCACTTCAACGTGGGACCAGAAGGAAGTTTTCTCTCTCTCCATTGGCCCTTATCACCCTGCCTATTTCCTTTAATAGGAGTTTTCCCATCCGAAATTTTTATTTGCTCACTTCACTTAATAAAAATGTATCGAGGGCCAAGGGTGTCAAGCAGTGACAGCTCAAAGTCCCTGCTCTCACGGAGTACATATCCTGGTCCAGGAAAACAGACACATGTGTGTACGCGTCAGGGTTCCAGAGAAACGGGGCCAATAAGATGGATGCCTGTGTACAGGGTGGGGCAAGTGTAGGCTGACAGTTGTTCATAAGGAAAATAGCACAATAGCACATAGTAACACAAGAGAAGACCCTGTGTTTCATGTACGCACAACTGTGAGTATATGTTTCTACTATATGTGGATGGATAGATGTAGATGTGTGTGCATTTATTTATACAGAGAGAGAGCTATTTGGGGGGGGAGCTATTTTATGGACCTGGTTTACGTGACTGTAGAGGCTGGTTCCCAGACATGGGAGGGCAGAAACAAAGTCCACACACCCCATCGGCTCCGGTGAACTTGACTTGCCTCCTGTTCCCGCAGGGTGTGGTGTCTTCACCCGCACCCCAGGCGACTGAGGGACTCCTGATGATCGCCCATCTCTGGCAAGGTGACAACTTATGTAGTGAACTCACTTCTCCACCAGCCCATTTCTGTGACTTTTCATGCTCTTCCATCTCTGACGTCACTGCCAGCCACACCGGGAATGAGGCTGTGGGGAAATGATTAAACCAGAGGGAAAGTCATATCTATGGAGTCCCACTTTGCTTTATAAGTACTTTTATGATATATGAGGATGGAACTCTTTCCAAAGTCAAGTTCTGTTGTGTTAGGGGGTTTTTTCACTGAAATCCATGGGCGTTCTTGGCTCTTGCTGCCTGGCCTGGCTCCCCCACAGAAACCCAGTAATGTGCTGGATCTGCCCTGAGTCAGCTCGGGGACAGCTGTCAACCTCGTTCCCCCAGTACTCTGCGATGACACACTGCATGTCGCTAGACTGCCATGGCGCCCTGTAATTGAAAGACCATATAACGTGGGATACTCTGCTCTGTATGGACTGGGTCACTGATGGAAGATTCGGTAAAAGTCTCGGACAAACCAGGGGACACGCAGGTGACTGTAGAGAGCTGAAGGCTGGTCACGAACCTTCTGAAACAGGGCTGAGAGAGAGAAAGGTGCCACAAATTGAATTAGGCTCAGATCATTCAGAAAGAAAATAACAGCTGGAAAACATCTCAAAAAGAAGTCTCTTCAAAACAGGCTGCCCGGGACAGCGGCCAAGTACATTTTTCTTTCCGGGCTGATTCTATGGCGCTGTTGGCGGCTGAGATCCAACACCACCCACCAGATTGACACGCTTTATGTATAAATATTCACACAGGGTGGGAGGAAAGCCTCTGGGTTGATATGATTTGGGTTTAGAGTTTCCAAAAAGAAAGAAAGGACTGACTGTTTAAGTTGCACAGGCATCTCCCTGCCAAGTTAAGGTAAAGCCCGGGATCTCGGAGCAGCGGGCTCTCTCTCAGCGAGCCTTTGTCGTCATCGACACCCACTTTGTTGCTCCTGGGTCTTCTGGTCAGCTCCACTCAGTGGCCTGTCCATGGTCAGAGGGGTCTGGAGGGTTGCAGCCATGCTGTCCCCCAAAAACCCATTTTGCAGAGAGGTCACAGGCCAATTCGTCTCTTCTGCCTTTTCCTTGATTGCAAAGCTTCCAGTGAGACCAAGGAATCTGGTGATTGTTCTCAGGGGAGAGTTGCCCGCCTACCACCCCAGAAACTAAGGGGGGGATCCCATTCCTCTGCCAAGAAGGAAAGGGACACCACCTGAGGGAATGGGGACTCTGCAACTGACAACCCAAAGTACCAAGCCCTCTTGAGCATCCACCTGGGCTGCAGGGACCTGTACCAAGAGTCTGCCTCAAGTCTGCAGTCTGACCACTAACTTCCCTTCTGAGGGACCATTCACCGGACTGCAGCTTTTGGTTATGAATACCGGTTTATCCGTTAACCAGGGGGTCTGTGGAGAAGTTAATGACTCCATGTTAAGACCCAACAGAAAACAGTTTTAGCCCCGGCTGGCATAGCTCAGTGGATTGAGCGTGGGCCTGCGAACCAAAGGATCACGGTTTGATTCCCAGTCAGGGCACATGCCTGGGTTGCAGGCCAGTTTCCAGCAGGGGACACATGAGAGGCAACCATACATTGATATTTCTCTCTCTCTCTCCTTCCCTTCCCCTCTAAAGATAAGTAAATTAAAAAATCTTAAAAAAAAGAAAAAGAAAGTTTTATGGGAATTGGTGAGAGAAGGTG